GAATAGTTTGATGAGAATGGGTGCTAGTTCTTTGAATGTTCAGTAAAACTCCCCTGTGAAGCCATCCAGGCCCAGGCTTTTGTCTGCTGGGAATTAATTAATTACATTTTCAATTTCTTTTGTTGTTATTGGTCTTTTCAAGTTTTCTGTCTCTTCCAAGTTCAGTTTTGGGAGACTGTGTGATTCTAGAAATTTGTCCATTTTGCCTAGATTGTCCAATTTGTTGGGAATTATTGTTCATAGTATTTGTTAATGATCCTTTGTATTTCTGTGGTGTCAGTTGTTATTTCTCCTCTTTCATTTCTGATTTTGTTTATTTGGGTCCTCTCTTTTTGTTTCTTGGTCAGTCTGGCTAGGGGTTTATCAATCTCAAGGACCAGCTCTTGTTTCATTGATCTTTCGATTTTTTTTTTTTTAGTTTCTATGCTGTTTATTACTGCTCTGACTTTTCCTATTTCTTTCTCTCTACTTGCTCTGGGTTTTTCTTTTTGTTTACTTTCTAGTTCTTTAAATTGTAGGGTTAGATAGTGAATTAGAAATTTTTCTTGTTTCTTGAGGTAGGTCTGTAGTGCTATGAACTTCCCTCTCAGAACTGCCTTCTCTACATCCCACAGATTTTGTGTTGTTGTGTGTTCATTTTCATTGGTTTCCAGGAATTCTTTTATTTCTTCTTTGATATCCTTGGTAACTCAATCATTGTTTAATAACATGCTATTTGGCTTCAGATGTTTGGATATTTTTTAGTGTTTTTATTGTAATTAATCTCTAGTTTCATGCCATTGTGATCTGAGAAGATGCTTCATATGATTTCAATCTTCCTAACTTGTAGAGACTTAGTTTGTGTCCTAACTTGTGGTGTATCTTTGAGAATGCCCCATCTGCACTTGAGAAGAATGCGAATTCTGCAATTTGGGGGTGTAATTCTCTGTAGATATCTATTAAATACATTTAATCTAGTGCATCATTTGGAGGCACTGTTTCTTTGTAATTTATTTTCTAGAGGATCTATCCACTGATGTCATCCAGGTGTTGAAGTCCCCTGCTATGAATGTATTGCTGTTGATTTCTCCTCTGAATTCCTCCAGAAGTTTTTAAATATATGTTGGTGCTCCTATATTGGGTGTATATATGTTTACCAAGGTTATATCCTCGTGTTGGATAGATCCTTTCAATATTATGTAGTGAACTTTGTCTCTAGTTATGGAACCTTTATTTATTTATTTATTTTTTTATTTTTATTTTTTTTTCTATCCTCATCCGAGGACATTTTTCCATTTTTTGTTCAGGTAGAGTGGGAGGGAGAGAGAGGAACAGAGAGAGAGAGAAACATCGATGTGAAAGGAACACATCGAGTGGTTGCCACCCGCAGAACCGACCAGGGCCGGGGACAAACTGCAACCGAGGTACGTGCCCTTAGCGGGAACCGAACCCGGGTCTCTCAGGACCGCAGGCCGACGCTCTAACCGCTGAGCCAAACCGGCCAGGGCTGGAACCTTTATTTTGAAGTCTATTTTATCAGATATGAGAATTGCTACCCTAGCCTTTTCATTTCCTTTCTGTTTGCTTGGAAATTTTTTTCATCCCTTTACTTTCAACCAATGCGAGTCTTTTGTTGTGAGGTGGGTCTCTTATAAACAGCATATATATAAAAGTCATGCTTTCTTATCCATTTAGCTACTCTGTGTCTTTTGATTGGAACATTTAATCCATTTACATTTAAAGTTATTACTGATATGTACTTATTGCCATTTTTGTTTATTATGGTTATGTTTCTCTCCCTATTTCTTCTGCTTATTACAGCAGTCCTTTTAACATTTCTTGCAGTTCTGGTTTGGTGCTAATATGTTTTCTTAGACCTTTTTTTTTTGTGTGTCTGGGAAACTCTTTATTTTACCTTCTATTTTGAATGATAGCCTTGCTAGATAGAGTAGTCTTGGATTCAGATCCTTGTTTTTCATGACATTCCCTTCTGGCATGTAGTGTTTCTGCTGAGAAATCAGCTGATAGCCTTTTAGGGGCTCCTTTGTAGGTAACCTGTTACTTATCTCTTGCTGCCTTATCTCTGTCTTTAACTTTTGGCATTTTAATTATGAACTGTTGTTGTGTGGGTCTTTTTGGCTCTTTCTTACTTGGGGCTCTCTGTGCTTCTTGAACTTGTATGCCTTTTTCCTTCACCAAAGTAGGGATGTTTTCTGTCACTATTTCTTCAAATATATTCTCTAACCCTTGCTCATTTTCTTCTTCTTCTGGAACTCCTATGATACAGATGTTGTTCCATTTCATATTGTCCCATAATTCTCTTAAGCTGTCCTCCTGTTTTTTAATTGTTTATTCTTTTTGGTTCTCTAATTGGGTGATTTTTTTCTACCCTGTCTTCTAATTCATTGATCTGATCTTCGGCTTCCTCTACTCTGCTGGTTATTACTTCCAATGTGTTCTTTATTTCTGCTATGTCATTTTTCATTTACGCTTGATAGTTTTTCTTTTAAAATTAGTTGATTTTCATTGTTTGTATATATTTACTCGTGCTGTTGAGCTTCTCAATAATCATTACTCTGAACTCTACCTCTGAAACTTGCTTAATTCCATTTCATTTATCCCTTCTGTAGAATTCTCTTGTTCTTTCATTTGGGATTTGTTTGTTTCACCATTGTGGCTGTCTCAGTGAGTTTTGGAACCTGACAAAATTTCCCTGTGGGTGTTGGTGTTCCACTGATTGTGGCTCCCTCTGCTGGGTTTGGATGAGTGTGGGAGAGCCCACATTAAACACCAATGTCAGGTCTTACTTTCTTGAGTAGATTTGCAGGCCAAACAAAGATTGGATATAGTTATCCTATAGCTTTTGCCTGCAGGTTATTAGTCTCAGTTACTTGATGAGCCTCAGGTTGTAGAACCTTAGCTGAATAAAAAATCCTTCAGGTGGACAGGGTAAGAGAATTTCCAGTGGGTGGAGCAATTGCTTTCTCCTGGGTTAAAGTTGCTTTGATAAGAAAGTGGTTTCTGCCTGGCCAGTGGGCTCAGCAGTTGAGCATCAACCCAAGCACCAAGGTGTCACCAGTTCAATTCCCAGTCAGGGCACAAGCACAGATTGTGGGTGAAAGCCCCAGTAGGGGGCATACAGGAGGCGGCCAATCGATGCTCTCTCTCATCAATGTTTCTCTCTCTTTCTTCCTTCCTCTAAAATCAACAAAGAAAAAATATTTTAAAAAGAAAGAAAGTGGTTTCTGAGGTGTGGACTATTTGCTCAGTGCAGGGTTCTAGGTCTCTTCCTTCACAACTCAGTCCCAGAGCCACAGGGTGGTACTCAGTTTCTGAGGGAGGGACAAATGCTTCTCCCCCAGGCTAAAACAGAGTGCTACTTGACAGAGATGGCTACTGAAGCCATGGGAGAGGGGCTCAGCATAGAAACTCAGGCCTCAGCCTTCACAGCTCAGTTCTCAGAGCCAGGACCCCCAACACAGAGAACCTGGTCCACATTTCAAAATTTTCTTGGAGGCTTTTTTATTTTTCCCCTCCTTGCTTGCTGGTAGAGGATAGCTGTTAATTAGTCTCGATTTGCATTTCTCAGCTGGGTAGTGTTAAATCCTGAGGGAGGGGCTGTTGCTTCTCCCCAGGGCTCTGAGAAGGGGCTCTTTGAGTAACATGGATACTGTCCTATAGGGGAGTGATTCAGCATAAAAATTCCAGTGTCCTCCTTCCCAGCTCTCCCCCCAGTGCCATGAACCCCTGACTCTCTTCACACAGTTCCAGACCAGCCTGCCCTCCCTCTGCCGGAGCCCAAGGTAAGTGGCTGTAGCTAATTTAGTACACTGGCTTTTCAGGGAAATGCCGGTGTTCCCAGCTCCTCTGCTCTAGTGATTTTCTCAGACAGGTGTCATGGGAGCCTTTCCCTGCTTTGCCACTCTGTGCTGTGGAGCCGGCTTGTGGTTTTCACCCCTGACTTCTCAGAAGGAACTGCTCACAGCTAAGACAGGCCTCAGCTGCTGCCTGTGGGCACACAGCCAGTCCTCTTATACCTGCACAGCTCCTACAGGGCTCAATTTGGTGTCCTCTTTACGTCCCTGGTTACATGGGTTCTCTCCCCCTGCTCTTCAGTTGGTTTTTCCCCATGACTTGTCTTTATTTTAGTTGTAATTCCAGTTTGGTCCTGGGAGATGATCTATGTAGCTTCCATTCACTTTACCACCATTTTTCCTTCTCCTTTGCTGAGTTACTCTTACAGAAAGTATTTTTCTATCTGATGGTAGGAGCAAATTCATAACACTTCCACTTCCCACATGAAATGAAGACAAAATCCTGGAACATTTCCAAAATTAAGGGTCATTGCACCTTATACAGAAAACTTTTATCAAATAGATCTGGAAGCTGGCACTAGAATTAGCCCAGGGAACTTAGACTCAAACACCGACTTATTAGCCCTCTATAAGTTTTTTTTTAAAATGTTTTTAGTGATATTTTTAGAGAGAGAGATACAAACATCAATGTGAGAGAAATACATTGATTGGCTGCCTACTGCATGCCCCTCCTTGGGGATTGAGCCTGCAACCTGGGTATGTGTCCTGACTAGGAATCGAACTGGGACCTCTCAGTCCATGACATGATGCTCAATCTGCTGATCCATACCAGCCAGGCAAGCCCTCTACAGGCTTTTTTAGATTCTTATTCCAGTTTGAATCCATGATTCAATATCTTCTAGCCACCAAATATTTGTTTATTCTCTCCTGAATTAACTACTTATTGACCCTGCTTTTGACCATAATACAGGAGACAGTGTGAGCTAAATACATATGAAGTTTCAAAAATTATGTTGTCTCTCAGAGAACTGAGCAAATGATTAATAGAGACATTATTTTGGACCAAGAACTAAAGACCATGATGTGGACTCCATCAGTGTATTGATGCTAGACACAAGATCTAAAATCATGTTTGGTATTTTCTACAGACAGGCCATATAACACATAACACGGAGAAATTTGTTTTTTATATGACTATATACTCACCCCAAATTCCCATGAATATTGCAAAGAACACTGTTGACTCATTATCAAATAAATAAGAGAACTGTAAAAAAAAAAAAATAATAACATCACAATGACTTTTGTTTCAAATGTAATGCAAAAGGAGGGCAATTCCAAGTCTTTTCAACCTACCAAAATATATACATACTTTTGAAGCTAGACATGTAGAATTTAGTCTCCAATAATCACACACTGCATCACAGAGTGGGCACATGATAATCTGACCTCCAACTTCGGGGTCACAGATTTCATTGCTGTAGAGAGAACAGCAAAGTTATTTTAAAAGTGGTGTGTGTTTGGGTGAGAGTCCAAAGCTGTTATTATTACAACAACTGTTTACACAGCTTCTCACATATGGCAGAAGGAGGAATAGAGCAGCAATTTCTGTCCTAGGTCAAGTCATGCTTTGAGGAACAGAATCTTTAGAAGTGGTTATTAAAAACAGATTTTTCATAAAGCACCAGGTGAAAGGCAGCTGCTTGGGTCTTTTTCAAAAAATATCAATTATCTAATGCCATAAAGAAATTCTGAAACAAACGCCAGGAAAAATAATAACACCAGTTTCAATTAACATAAAATCGAACATTTTCTCTACTTGGACAAATTGGCAGCACTTACCTGGTTGGGCTACTGTTCATTGAGAATAAGCCATAAATAAAACAAGCTAAGCCAACTACAGCAGCAACGAACAGCATCTCTGTGTAAAATCCGAGAAAGACAAAATACATGCCAATTTTTTCTCCATAATAATTCCTATAAAAGAGGATAAAGATAGAATCAGAGGTCGGAAGAACAACACAGTCCAGACAGCCTTGTTTTGCATTCACACAAGCCTGCATTCTAATTTTGGCTCCACAGCTTTCTAGATGTATAATTTTGGCAAAGTTACTAATCTCTCTAAACTTCAGTTTGCACACCATAAAATGCAGGTTGATGTTTATCCAAAGAAACAGTGTAAGGATTAAAAAAGATAACACATAAAGTAGGAAGCCAACTGAGTGAAAGTCAAGTTTTAATTTTGAAATAATACGGAATTTGAAGTTTCTAAATTTAAAGAGTTTGCATGTTAGAAATTAAACTGGAGAAGATTTTGCAATGTAACTTCTAGCAATTAATTTAACAAGTCAAAATTATATGCACAATCTGCACAGACTTTTGCTTTATCTCTCTAAAATTGAAGAAAGTACTCTGATCATCTATTAGGAAAGTTTGGATCTCTGATGGATAATTATTGAATGATGAGGTAAGCAGGCTGCACCCCAAGGAATTAAAAGTGGCTGCTTTGTAAAAGTTCCATAAAATATACAGTTCAGCTCTTGTTTACAGAGGTGAAAAGTGACAGCATTACTTGGCATAAATGTTCAAGTCTTACACCAAGTTTTTGTTGTAGCTGTCATTTATAATTTTAACCCAAATATCAGGCCTACCTAATTTGATTTATAAACTTAATGTGATCCACATAAAAATACCAACAACTTTTTTTAGTAAAGAACTAGACATATTTATACCAAAGTTTCTATGGAAAAATAGATATGCAGAATGTACAAGGAGATGCTGAGAATAAGAGCTGTGATAATGTATTAGCCCAACTAGATATTAAAACATACTACAGCAAAATCATAATAATTAAAACAACCTGGTACTCATGCATGAATAGTAGCTAGAGCAACAGGATACAGCAAAAATATCCAGGAATAAACTCAACTGCATATAATAAAGGTGGTAACTGAAATCACTGGAGCAACAATTACACTGTTTAATAAATGATGTTGGGACAAGTAGACAAAATTAGATATATACGTCACACAATATGCAATAATAAATTCCAAGATAAAGAATCTAAATATAAAAAAGGAAAATGATGCAAGTAGGAAAAAAAAATGTGGGTGGATTACTCTACAACTTGTGCATGTAAAGAGGCATTCTATCATTAAACATTCAAATACAATAAAAAATAAAGTTGACTTAACCTTTTGTGGCATGGTTCTTTTCCTTGGCATACTGCCTTTAAGATTTAGTCCTTCACGTTGCATGTATTAGGAATGTATTTCTTTGTATTTATGAGATAAATCTACTGTATGAATACACAATGATTTGTTTATTCATTCACCAGTGGTGAACATTTGGGTTTTTCCCAGTTTTTTATAATTATGATGAGTTAAGCAGCTATGAACTTTCAAATAATGGTGTTTCTGTGAACACATGCTTCATTTTTCCTGGGTAAAGGCTTAAAAGTGAAATTGCTGGGTCATATGAAAAGTGCACATTTAACTTTATAAGAAACTCAAATTGTTTTGTAAATTTGCTATACCACTTGCATTTCCACCAGCAATATTTGAAATTTCAAGTTGTTCTGCATTCCTGACAACACTTATTGTTGTCAGTCTTTTAGGTTTTAGCTATTCTAGTGGGTGTTTCATAATTTCTCAATGGTACTTTTTATTCTCCTGGGGAATAAAGATGTTGTGTGTTGTTTAATGTTCATATTGGCCATCCATAAGTATATATTTTTTTTGGTGAAGTATCTGTTATAATCTTTTGTCCATTTTAAATCATTTTGTCTTATTACTGAGTAATAAGCTACTTAAATATTTTGGATAAGAGTCCTTTATTGATATGTGTGCTGCAAGTATGTTCCTCAGGTTGTGGTTTGCTTTTTTATTTTTATAAGAGTGTCTTTCTAAGTGCAGACATTGTTAATTTCAATGAAGTCAAATTTATCCATTTCTTAAATTGTGCTTTTTGGGTCTTATTTGAAAAGTCCATTCCTAAATCCAGGTCACATATATTTTTTTCCTACATATTATTCCAAAAGTTTTATAATTTTATCCTTTACACTTAGTTCACTGATCCCTTTCACATTAGTTTAAATTTTTGTACAGGAAAGGATCAAGATTCCTGTTTTTCACATAGATATCCATTGTTCTAGCATCATTTGTCAAAAGACTACCCTTTCCCCAATGAGAAACCAGGCACCTTTGTCAAAAGTCAATTGACTATAAATGGATCTATTTCTGGACTCTTTTATTTTTTATTAAAGGTCTTATTTAAAAATAATTTTAAGTACATAAAAAAGTTGCAAGAGTAATTCTAATAATATCCACATACCCTTTAATTATTTTATTGTAAAATATATTGTTCCATTTGTACTCTCTTCATGTGTACATTTCTTTTTACATATATATATATGTCTCTAAACCATTTCAAAGTAAGTTGGTTGAATATATCATGGTCCTTAGTACCTAAATACTTCCTTGTCTAGTTATAAAAATAAGGATACTATTATATAACCACTGAAAAGGAACCTTAGAAATAACAGCTATTTTTTGCAACTGCTACCTCTGTGATAACAGTGCTTTCTTTTTTACCTTTACAATTTCTTAGTTTAAAACTTTATACACAGCTATTAATTCTTTACATTAAATTTTGTTTATAATTTACAATTATTTTTAAAATTTTCTCATTAAAATAGAAAAGGAGTATAACTTGCTATAAATGAACAGTTACTTTAATATGATTTAAAAAACTTAAAAAGTTGATAAAGTTTAGCTTCACATCATCATCTGGTAAAAGATATGAGTTTCTACTTTGTTGTAAAAAGAAATTAGCAAATTCTAAACAAGGTATTACAGTACACCTTCAATGACCTGAGATGTAATATGTTTGTGTGTACCCAGGGTTATAAATATAAACCTTTGGGGAATACTTAAAGCATCAACACATGTAGAGAGTTTAAAAATGTTAGATGAATAATATTCTCAATATATTCTTTTTTTCCAATCCTCACCTGAGATATGTTTATTGATTTTATAGATGAAGGGGGAGGAAGGGAGAGTGAGTGAGAGAAACATCAATGTGAGAGAGAAACATTAATCCGTTGCTTCCCATACATGCCTTGATCAGGGATTGAACTGTCAACATAGGTATGTACCCTGACCAGGAATCAAATCCACAACCTTTTCGTGTATGGGATGATGCTCCAACCAAATGAGCCACCTAGCCAAGGCTCAATATATTTTGAACAATGTAAAATATGTAAACCTTATTTTGACAACTTCGCTTTTTTGAAAATACACTGTGAAAATATTCTCCAAAGAAACAATGTCTGCAGCTGTTCTTAGCAGCCTTGATCTTACTGGAAAAATCTGGGGCAGCCTAATGTTTTTCAACAGAAAAGTATATACAATGAATTATGCAAAACGTATAACATGGCACTCTGTGTTCTGTTAAAAAGCATGAGATAGATCTGTGTGTATTCACAGGGATGAGTACCAATAACATATTAGTGGAAAAAATAAAATCTCATCAAGAAAGTAAGTAATGATACCACTTTTCTAGGGGAACAATGTGTGTGTTTTATTATGCATGCACATAAAAATAAGACTGAAAGGCTATTATCAAAAGTAGTTACTTCTGCAGAATACAATGGAAGTAAAATTTAACTTAAAACTTTGTATATATCTTTATCATTTTAACTTTTTAAAAATAAATATACTATTTTATAATTCGAAAACTAAATACCACTACTCCAAATCATTAAAACATCCATCCAACAATAAGTTCATATAATGATTTACAGAAAGCATCAGTATGTATACTCCAGCTGCATTTCATGCTTTTTCCCCCATTTATTTTCATATAGAGCAGGAATGAGAGAGGGAGGGAGAGAGAGAGAAACATCGACATGAGAGAGACAAATCAATCGATTGCCACCCACACGACCCCAACCAGGGCCGGGGACAAACTGCAACCGGGGTACGTGTCCTTAGCGGTAACCGAACCCGGGACTCTCTGGTCCGCAGGCCGATGCTCCAAGCACTGAGCCAAACCGGCCAGGGCTGCATTTTATTCTTAAAAGTTCCCCTTATTTGCCTTAAACAAAATCATTGATATAACATTTCAGTTGATTTGGATGTATGCATCAAACTCAGTCTCCTAAAAAGGATGCTGTGATGAGGTGCAAGCCTCTCGGTAGAAGCATAAATCACCAAATGAATTGTTCTAATCTGATTATTCCTTGACTGAAATCACAGCAGGAGTCTCCTAACATCCTGTATGTATATAGTATTGTAATGGTTCAAAGCAGAAGCCTACAGCCATTGTCTTCTTGCTTAGCCAATAAAACTGTCTAAGAAATTGGTTGAGAGCTTGTCAATTGCCTGAGCCCAAAGATAAAAGAAAAAAATTTGAGGTTACAATAAGAACAATTGTCTTCACAGTTCTCTGACACACACACACACACACACACACACACACAGACATCCATACACAACCTTTCTGCTATCTTCTAAATTCCTGGACTGAGAGGAGAGGAAAATAAAACAAAAGTATTGTGCACTCAGCACTCAGCAGTAAGTGCTAGCTCCTATGCTAAAAAATGTACATCTCATTTAATAATCAAATAACCCCATAAAGAAAGTACTATTGTTACTCCCATTTTACAGATTAGCCTCATACAGGTTATGTAACTTGAACACGTTTTGATAGCTTCTAGGAGGAAGAACGTGGATTTGAACTCAGCCTACCCAAATACTAAAGCCCAACCTCTGAACCACTGAGCAATCTCTGCAGGGTAACAGCATCGTGTTCTCAAATGAATGACTAACTGACAGTGTAGATACAATACTGGGAAAGTGTAAAAGGTAGTGGGTGAGAATAGTAGTAAAAAAAAATGGAAGACGATGCCATTGTAAATGAAAATCACATTATCAAGTTTTAACCAACTTACCTAATCAAGTCTAAAGGCTGCTCCTTATAAAAATAGGAAAACCGAGCCCAATTCTGGAAAAGTGTGTACCTTTCATTGACAGGATTAGGTGGTTCTGATGGCTTCCAATACTGACCCTGCAGATATTCAAGGAGAAAGTACGTTAACGACAAAGCAAAAGACGGTGCAAAGCAAACCCAACACTGCTTTTAGGAGGTAGGAGGTGATTGTTCTTTTACTTTTAGACTTGTGTTCCATTCATGTGAAATTATCTACTAAAATCCATAATAATGGTGATTTATTTATTAAATTCTCATACCCGATCATTTAAAAATGAAAGTTTAAAGTTGGAAGCTTTGGATTTACTCAAGCCGTTCCTTTCACCTGGAATGCCCTTTCTTCTCTACTCAAACCAACACTGTATGCACGGCTCGGGGATTCATATGTCTACCTCACTGGCTGCGACTTTAGAAATAAGTTAATACTTTCATTGTAGAGGTTGAAAAATAAGCCCCCAGAGAAGTTAAATGAATGATCCAAAGTCATACTGCTATGACAGGAATCTCCTCCAAGGAACACATCTTGTCCTCACTGATACTCATTTCCCGAAGAACCTAAAATATATACAACTTTAGCACTTAGCCTCAGTACTGTTTCATACCTAAGTCTTTTCCCCACTGTTAGGTACTGAGCAGGTTTTTTAACATCTCTTCAGGGCCCAGCAGAGCACTTCCTACACAGCTATTCAATACATTCCATTTTTTGTTTGTTTGTTTTTTTAAATAATAAATTTGATTCTTCCTCTTTTTAAAAAAAATTTTAAATATGTTTTTTATTCATTTTTTAGAGAGAGGAAGTGAGAGGGAGAGAGAGATAGAAACATCAATTGGCTGCCTCCTGCACGCGCCCCACTGGGGATCGAGCCTGCAACCTGGGCATGTGCCCTGATTGGGAACTGAATTGATGACCTCCTGGTCCATGGGTCAATGCTCAACCACTGAGCCACACCGGCTGGGCTCAATACATTCTTTATAACTGCCCAGCCTAGACAAGTGAACTGCTGAAGACAACATTGAATAATTACCCAATTTTAAATTAAGCACATGTGAAAATCTGGATAAGGCATAATATTTTATATCACCGAGATTTCAAGTTTTCTTCTTCTGTAGCTAATCCTACTGAATCTTGAGAAATGAAATAGAAAATAAATCAGCCTATTTATGTAGCTGGAAACATGATTCTTTCAATACATAAGGGAAAATCCAGTACCTAAACTTGAATTCAGGGGAAAAGAAAGACATAAAAACTAAAATTAATGGTAAATTAAATAAAGCTCTCTAACAACAGCTCAGTGACGTTGATATTCTAATAAGCATAAAGGACTCTACTAGAAGTCTACATGTATGGATTAAAATTTCTAGTGACTGAAGATATTTGGTCATTTTAGTTTGGCTTTATGATCTGGTAATGGGAAAAACAGAATTAATGTCCTAAAAACAAACAAACGAACAATCCTCAAAATCTTCCACAACTGAATGAGCCCTTTGTGAAATAAGAGTGACAAAGAATGCACTGCCAGTGTTTACTAACCCACTATAGATCTCTAGATTTTATGCCCATGTTATTTTTTAGAATCCATAATCTTCTAGAAATTATTTTGCTCCAAGGAAAATATATGGGGGAGAAAGAAGGGGCCGGGGTTGAAGGTGTGGGGAGAATGGTTTCACCTGAATTGATAGTCCTGTTTAAAACTTCTTTTCATTTTGGAAAATTCTGTTGTACCCTTATAGGAAACATATCAAAGACAATCAACTAACCAGTGCTGAACTGACTAGAGTCAATTACCATACTGCTGAATGAATAATGACAGAGGAAATCTGGCACAATAGTTTAAGCCCTGGAAAAGAAAGAGTTCAGTTTGGGCTTTTGGAAACTACTACAATAACTTCATCTTCAGAAACATGAGCAATGCCCTGGCTAGTTTGGCTTAGTGGTTGGAGCGTTGGCCTGTGGACCAGAGAGACCCAGGTTTGATTCCCACTAGGGGCACATACCAAAAAACAAAACAAAAACAAAAACAAAACATGAGCAATGGTTTAGATGCCACCTGTTTAAATGGAAATACTTGGTTCTTCTGTGTTCCTAAGGAATGTGTTTCTCAAAAAGAGAGCATGTCATCAAAAAGTTTTCATATAAGTATGAAAGAATAAAACAGGACTAAACAACAAAACAAAACACAGAAGTTCCAAGGAATGATCTCAAAATAGTTTATATATATTTAGCCACATGATGCTACTGCCCACGGGTGGTGACATTTAGACATGTAATACCTAAAAGGAAAGGTTTCCCTCAGAAACCCCCAGCAACCAGGCTGCCAAGCTTTCAGGTTTGGTCAACCCGGCACATCATATAAAATGTCACTTCCTTGTTGAGCTTACAAAGCTCAACCATTTTGTACAATGACCCAACAGTCTCGAAGAATCTCTCTTCTGAATCTCAGTTATCTGAACTGCTCGTATGGAGTGAAGTCCTTAGCTTGTCTTGAAGTTGTACACATGCTTTATTTCCCAGAAATTCCTAGTCTACGAGTGACTCATGGATGCATTCCAATAATACCTAACAGAAAGCTTCATATCTAATTAAAACAAATTATGCCTTTGATGAATGAATACATGAATGCATTTAACTCATGCATGTAATTTAAGTCCTTTACAGCTTTAAAACTGTTTGAGAAAAGATCTGATGAATTCAGATAGAAATTCCAAACATTATGTTTTACTACAACTGCTTTTTTCAATATGGGTCCTAAAGAAAAATCATGTGCAAATGTAATAATTTTCCCTAAATAAATTTCCATTAAAACTTCAGCGTGAAGAGGTATTAACTCCGTGTTTCATCATTGCTGGTAATGCTCTGAGCTTGGAACTAGAGTGCCTTTGGGGATTTTCCCAACAAGTGAGAGAATTAAGCAACCTGTCAAAAAAAAAAAAAAAAAGCAAATGGAAGATATGGAAGATTCTCTCTCCCCAAAAGCAGTCTCTGAATGCGTGAGAGGAAACATGGGCTCGGTTTTTTGAAATCAAGCTAATACTTACATCATGGAGTGGATACGCAGATGAATAAGTGTGAGAAGTTAGCAGTCTTTCAATCCCAAACTTTTTCTTCCCATCTTCTATGGCAAAAGGACATCGCGAGAGAATATAATAAACCTACAAAGGTAAGCATAAAGAGACACACATTTCATAACTTTATGCTTTCCACATCTCTTTTTTCAGTCACAATTTAACAGTGTCGACCTTGCCTGAATGCAGATAGGGTCTCTGATTATAGAAGGCACTTTCCCTTTGTTGTCTGGGGGGAGCTGTGGAGGGTGGGGCTATGTGGAGGTGGCCTGCACTCCAGCTCTTGGGTGTGAGAGCCCCCTATTCCCTTGGGCAGAGCAGAGAATGAGTCATACCTTATTTTGCTTCTCCTATTACATGCTCCTCTGGAAGTCTATTGTGCCCGAATTTCTACTATAATTAGAGCTTCAAGTTGGAGTCTAGTATCACTACTACTAACAATTCAATTAGACTCAGCAGTGGTTCTCAACCTGTGGGTTGCGACCCCTTTGGGGGTCAAATGACCCTTTCACAGGAGTCGCCTAAGATATAACAGTAGCAAAATCACAGTTTTGAAGTAGCAATGAAAATAATTTTATGGTTGGGGGTCACCACAACATGAGGAACTGTATTAAAGGGTCACGGCATTAGGAAGGTTGAGAACCACTGAATTAGAGGAATATGGAGTAGAATTGATACCTGGGCAAGCTGTCTTAAATACTGCTTTATTTAATTACTCTGATAAGTTATCTGGCATTTCCCATGACCTGAATTTATTAACTCAGATATTCATGTCTCTATAACTATTTTGCAGTCACTTATATCTTTATATCAGGTTTCTCCATACAATTTGGACTTTGGTGTCCGCAGCTCTAGTACTTCTGTCAATTCGATCCCACCTACATTTTGTGTTCCAGCAACTTTTCAGAATTTCTGCTTTTCTGATTGTTGAATGTGATCCTTTTAGTGCCATTTTCAATGCATTTCCCTTCCCCCCCTTTTCATATCTCATCATTTAAGAAAGTGCTGACTGGGATGGTTGATGTCCTTGCTTCACCGTTACCTCATCTGCTTATTCACTTTGAGCACAAGCTTACTATTCTACCTTGGTAAATAATTCATAAGTTACGTAAGATAGTTTTAATTTTTATAAATAATGTGATAAATATCAAGTATTCTACATACTTTGATTTATTTCTTAGGAAAGATTCACCAAAATAAGAATTCTGTCTTGGCGTGTTAACAAAATAGAAAATTTATTCTACTAGATATTAAGACTTGTTATAAAACTACGGTGATAAATTCAGCATGGTGCTGCCAAATAAAGACAAATCCAGACTTAGGAAAACTTTTATTCCAAAGGTTATTGTAAGAGGGTGAGGTGGACTACTGCGGTGGGGGGATCTGTGAACATCTCTGCAGTTAGGTAGGAAGGGGCTTTTCTTTTACGGGAGAAGTGAGCGGGTTCAGGGAGTGGCCTTCTCTGTGTTAAGGAAGGGCTATTCTACATGCCAGTGTTGGCTCGGGTGGAGGGTAAGTCAAAGTTGAGGGTCCTGTGGGGAAGAAAGTAGTTTAATTAAAGTTGGTCAATTCAGGTAACAAGTACTTTGTTTTTAAGAAGTAATGGGGAGCCCTGGCCGGTTTGGCTCAGCGGTTAGAGCGTCGGCCTGCGGTCCTGAGAGACCCGGGTTCGGTTCCTGCTAAGGGCGCGTACCTCGGTTGCAGTTTGTCCCCGGCCCTGGTCGGTTGTGCGGGTGGCAGCCACTCGATGTGTCCCTTTTGCATCGATGTTTCTCTCTCTCTCTCTCTGTTCCTCTCTCTCCCTCCCACTCTACCTGAACGAAAAATGGAAAAATGTCCTCCGATGAGGATTAAAAAAAAAAGAAGAAGTAATGGGGATACATAATTTAGCTACACTTTCATAAAACAAAAAATGAGAGTGTGCAGGGCCTTGGCTGACCCTTATTACTCTGAAGGAATGACAGGGAGAATCAGAAGGGTAACGATAGGTGCATGGGAACAGGCTTCCCTGGTTCCGAAAGGAAGGGAGACTTCCTCCTGCTCGCTTTTCTTAGAGCAATTCCTATAAAGTACTTCTAACTATCAATTATTTGTCTCTCCCTTTCTTGCATGTAAATCTTCTTAAAAGCCAATTAAGCCTCACACCACTTTTATAACCCAGGAGTGTTTTTCTTGTCTTCTCAGAGCTGTCTCTTTTCAATGTAAACATCAAGAAAGACAGCATCCCTGTCTTCCTAGACGTGCAGCCGGGGTCCCTGGCCCAGCTGCAACCATCTGCTTGGCATAGAGATATGGTAAGTCTTATTTTTGGATAAAGACGACTAACCCAGATGAACGCTTCAATTGCCAGGTGAGTTCAGGATGGACAATGTGGCAAATGGTTCTGTCATGTCAGACGAGGAGTTGGGTCAGGGGTCATAAATATTCTCTAAGTCCCACGGGGAAGGGTGGCTCTCTACAGTAAGCAGTTTCCCAGAATGAGAAAAGCGGGGGAAATCTGTAAGTGCCCCTGTTTTCCAGGACTACAGAGCTCAGGTAAAGTTCAACACTGTCAGTGTTGATGCAAAAATAGACAAAGAGGTCAAAGCCACAGAATCAAGCCCAGCAGCAGACCCATGATAGAGATACCTGAGTTATGAAAGAGGTAGAACTGTAAGACAGTACAAACAACAACTGAATGTTTTCAGTACTGGAGCAAGTTAAACGACTATATATGGCGGAGAAAAGGCCTGCACCTCCCACCACGCACAAAAACGAATTCCAGGTGGATAGTGGTTCTCACTGTGGAAAGCAAAACTGTACAATTCCTAGAAGATAATATAGGAAATTAACCTCATGATCTTGGTGGTAAAGTTTAAGAGCATTATTTGTAAAGGCTTGAGAAAATGGACTACATTAAAATTAAAAACACCTGTTTATCAAAAGAAACCATTAGAAGAAAAAAAAATAGGAAGCACAAACTAGGAGAAAAATCAGTAAAATATAAATGAATAAAGGCTCATGTAAAAATATATAAACAGTTCTTACAAATCAATCAGGGAAGACCTAACTAAAAAACAAACAAGAGACTTTAGCAGGGATTTCATAAAAGTGCTTATCTAAATGCCCAATAAACATATACAAGGAGATCAGTCTCCTTCCTATCAGAGAAATGCAAATTAAAACCACAATAACGCATTCTCAAATAGATTTCCATACGAAACAACACACGTGAACGGACAGAAGCTCATACAAAGCTAAGTTAATCATCCAAAAAAAATGCTGAGCCAAATGCTGTGTGATTCCTTTTCTTTCACATTTAAAAACAGACTAAACTGGTCTCTGCTGTGAGGAGTTAGACTGGACCTCCTCTGGGGAGAATGGGAACAGTGACTGGGAGAAGCACTCGGACATCGGGGGCACTAGAAAGATTTTCTCTCTTGATATGGGTGGTGGTTAGATGACTGCGCATTGGTGAGAGCTCAGCGAGGTGTACAGTTATGACTTGTGGGTCTGTCTCTATGTTATCAGGACTCTAAATTAGTGCATCTTTTTATAAAGCATGACAGTGCAATATATATATAAAATTTTAAATGTGCATGCCTTTGGATGAAATTTTATGTGGCACCCATTTTGCAGGAAAATTTACATATATGTTGAAATATGTAAGTACTAGGTTGTAAACTGCATAATTGTTTGTAATATCAGACAAGTTGGGAACAAACTCAATAGCTGTCAGAAGTGAAAATGTTTAATGAAATTATGTTACATCTATATAAAATTTTATGCAATATATCTGTGAGGGGCATACATCATGATGGTTGTGAAGATTCTTTAAAAAGTATAAAATTCTATGCCCAGCCAGTGTGGCTCAGTGGTTGAGCATCAACCCATGCACCAAGAGGTTGTCCAGTCAGGGCACTTGCCTGGGTTTTGGGTTTGATCCCCAGTATGGTGTATTCAAGAGGCAGCTGATCGATGTTCCTCTCCCATAAATGTTTCTACTTCTCTCTCCCTCCCCCTTCCTTTCTCTCTAAAAATCAATAAAAAATATTTTTTAAAAGAGTATGAAATTCTATACCAATATAAAATGCTCCTGTAATACTGTTCAATTTGTACATAAATAAATTATGTCTGAATGCGGATCGTAAGAAAGGGACTTATCTACATTAACCTTCCAAATAACTTCCTCAGTAGAGCAAAAATAGCATTGCTCTAGGAGGGGAAGATCGTTGTGCTTTAACGCTAAATAGACCTAAGATAGTGACATTCTTTACAAGCAACAAATAAAGATAAATGAATACTGACATTTCTATTCCTCATCAAGTTCCTACTTTGTTCTTCCAGGTTCACTGGCCTTTTGTTAGCAAGTGTTTGATGCAACAAGGATATCTGAAGTACATTCCAGTTTGCAGAGTGTCTCACATACATTTTTTCATGTCATCCTCCCAGTAATTCCAGTATTATCATTTGTGTATTTTAAGAGCGGTTATCTTATTTAGAAAAAAGCAGAGTTATGACCTGAAACCAGGTTTTCTGACTCCATGCCATGTGCTCTTTATTTATTCTCTTATAGGTTGCCTCCTAGATTTGTTGTTGTTTTTTTAATCTTAGTTTTTTTAAAAAAGGAGAGGTGGAATGCAATTTTTAGTTTGTAGATTCACACTTGTATACATTAATTCTAGGCATTCCATTTTGTTTAACATTCCCGTCAATGAATTTTTTAAAAATAGATGTAGGAACCAGAAAAGATGATTATTTCAAAATTCCTCTAATACACGTAAGAGTACAGAACTTGAAGGGAATGAAGTCTCCAATGGCTCAGGGAAACAGAGTAAGTACAATCAAGGGGAAGGGTCCCGTGATGGTTCGAACCCTGGTAAGTACGCTCATCGGCAACAGATAGAGGGGGAAGAGCAACAAAAACCGGAATTTTCCCCTCTGAATTCTTACCAACAATATCTAACATTTATCGATCACTTACTTAGTATGTTCCAGAAACTGTTAAAAGCAGTTCATACCTAAACTCAATTACTCAGGGTAACCTGTGAGGCAGAAATTATTCCTTTATTAACACAAAGAAACAATGGCACAGAAACCATGATTCTTTAGGAGAGAGGTTTTTAATGGTAAACTTAAAGATCCTAGGACTACAAATGGAGAGAAAATATTATTATTCAAAACACTGAAAATGGTTTTAATGAAAAGAAAAAGCTCTGTGGTTTCTTTAGTGCTATCTATATATAAAGAAATTAAAACATTCCATTTCCATTTGGAATAACCAATATCCCTCCTACTATGCCCCTGAACTCACAAAACCAAACTCTAAGATCATAAAATCATTTTGTAAAGGTCTTATAAAATCTAAGTCCTGTATCTCAATTAAATGCTTTCCCCACGATGCCTGTGTGTTTACGTGTCCACGTCAACCATTCATGTTTAGACAACAGTTTGAGAAGCAGGGAGGTTATGAACACATTTAAGTGGTCCAAGTGGATTTTCAAACCTGCCCAGTACCACTGAACAAATGATCCAACTTTACACAGAAGCACCTTGCAGACACAGCACATGTCAAGGGAAACACAGGCACACTTCCCTTACTTGAAGGGATGCGCCCAAAGGTCTTCTCTACCTACAATTCTGTTTCTTGATGAGGATGGAAAGAAGCTGGACTGGTCATCAATGAGGAAGAGTTCCTGGCGATGTCTGGAGAACTGGGCAGTGTAATACTCAGGATGAGGATGCTTCACTCCCCTCGCGAGCTTCAAAGGCCCAAGCATGCAGGAAAAGGGGAGCTTCTCGGGTGGGAGAGAATCACTCTCCTTGATAGGCATTTTCATTCCCAACACTTCCGCGTAAGTAACTAACACCTCCCAAGGGGCATGGATCTTGACAAAGTAAGTTTTTCCATCTTCAGAGTTCTGTATAAAAAGGAGGCAAAATAACAGAAAGCTTACTAATCTGATTGTTGAACTCATTAAGAAACAGAATTGTATAAAATCATGAACAAATTAAAGATGACACAGCATTTCGATTTATTGAAATTTTCAGCAAAATTTTTAGAAGAGTAAATGCACAAGAGTTATATATTGTATATTATACTTACATATACACATATGTATATGTTTTATATGTGTGTGTGTGAGAGAGAGAGAGAGAGAGAAACAGTGACACAGAGAGACAAAGAAAGAATATTTTGAATAATATATTTCAGGGTCAATGTATACTAGCCTGAAGTCCACAGATACATATGTGTTCTAGACAAGATCTTAAATGTTTATTTAGCAACCAGCCTTGTGCTCAGAAGTGTGCTAGGGTATAGGCGGGACACATACAAAATATAAGATGTACTTGATCTCTTAACCAAGCTTCTATGTATGGTCTACACCTAGAGGAAGAACTTTCCATAATAAGGGTTCATTAAACAGAAGAATAATTAATTATGTTATAGATTGTGTGGTATAATACACACTTATCAATTCAGTAAAACAGGGATAAATAAGAACTAAAGAGTGTTAATTCAGAACTAGAGAGCTTCACGGACGGAGTTTCATGGACAGAGTAGAAACTTAAGAATGTCTTTCAAAACAATTTTGCAGGAAATCCTAGAAAGCTAGTAAATGGTTGGGGGTTAAAAAAAAATTAAAAAATAACTTGTCATATTTATGGGTAGCAAATGTTCCTTGACTTAAATATCAGTTGTGCTACCAATTAGACAGATTAACTAGATCGGGTGCTAGATAACAGGCAGCCTTAAAAATGAGTCAAATCTGAAACAAAAACCATGTCTTCATTTTATTCGTGTCCTGAATATAATTATTTACACCTATTTAAAAAGTGTTCCACTCATCATCTCACAGAGCAAAGACCAACTTACTGGAACAACCCAGGCATTACCATTCCCAGGGTACATATCGGTAGCCAAAGAAACCTACTGTGCTGCTCCCAAGCACAGAGTTTATCTAGACAAAGGCCCGAGTAGAAGAAAAGAACATTTAAAACACCAAGATTCTGATATAAATGAAAAACTTTTACCATTTTGTCTTCAATTTCCAACTCAAGACCTGTTTTTCTGAGATTCTGTTCAAACTCTTTTCTTCTTTCCTATGGAAAAATAAATCAGTGGAATGATGTAGAATGCTTTCATTCACACAATGACTGTGTCTCTGATGGCCCTCTGTCCCTCCCATGGATTCATAGGAAAGGACTCTATGTACTGCCTCCATGCTAGAGCCAAGTACTGCTTTTCACCTGGACTATAATTCACAATATAACTAGAAAAATCCAATATGTCTAGGAATAATCTCCAGGAAATGTACAGGATCTCTATCTGGAAAAAAAATGCACAAAGCTTTACTAAATAATATTAAAAAACACTTAACAGAGAAACAGCTCATGCTCCTAGTTGGGAAGACATAGAATTGCAAAGCTATCAGTACCCTTCAAATAAACTAGATACTTAACGCAATTTTAAGCTAAAATATCATCATGACTTTTAAAAAATTTAATTTAATTTTTTTTCCTCATCGTGGCTGTTTAATCTTAAAGAATAGAACAGCTTCACTTAGAAAAAGTAAAATTAAATTAAATGCAAATAATCATTACTTGTGGGCTTCACAACGATGCACCCCCTGCTGAAAAACCTTTTGGTTTTAATTACGATTGAACTGTAAAAACTTCATAATAACTGAAATTTTAAAAGGCCTTGTTAGGATGTTAGAGGACACTCCTTTTCAAATGGATATGTCTACCTTGAGATATAACCGAACTTTACAAGGAATAAAAGATCATAGTACTGTGTCCCTTTCTTCCTCTTCCGATGTTTACCACCTGTTAACTGCACGCGAGAGCAGGCCCGCGGCAGGAGTGCAAGTTTGCCTTTTTCAGCTACTCTTTCAAAGCTGCCCTTCACCTATATTACCCAAATCAGGCAGACAGGGAACCCGAAAAGGGGCAGGGACATTAAAATATTCTATCACGCCCTGGGCGGTGAGGCTCAGTTGATTGAGTGATGTTCTCTGCACTGAAAGGTCACCTGTTCGATTTCCAGTCAGGACACATGTCCAGGTTTCCACTGGGTCACTGTCGGGGGCGGGGTGTGCAGGAGGCAGCAGACTGATGTTTCTCTCTCACATCGATGTTTCCCTCTCCCCCCCTCTCTCTAAAATCAATAAAAAAAATTTTTTTAAAAAGCCTTTCAAAAATATCATATCAGTATTGAAAAAGTTAATAACTCTTCTCATTGTAGTAATAAATGCTTTTGCAAGTCATATAGGCACCAATGACGAGTTGGACAAAAGTGAAGGCTGGGACAATAGGAGTGATAGTTCATAGACTATTAAACATTACTTTTATGGTAAATCATTTTGTAATTTGTATAGTTCAAGATTTCAGAAAAGATCAAAACTGCTCCAACAATACTTTTTCTATTCCAACCTACTTATTTATCTGAACAAGTTTAATTAACACAAACATAAAAACAAAACAGAAATATATTTAAAGCTGAACCGTCTCATTCTAGGAATAATTCTCATTCATCTATGAACAAGAAAAAATATTTTTAGAGCCCTGCTGTCCATCTCATATGGTGAGTTTACTTTTGAAAAACAATTTTATTTATTTGTTCATTTATTTATTTATTTATTGAATTGATTTTGAGAGAGAGAGAGAGAAACTTCAATGTGAAAGAGAAATACTGATCAGCTGCTTCCCACAGGTGCCTCAAACAGGCAGTTGAACCTACAACCTGGGCATGTGCCCTGACTGGGAATCGAACCTGCCACCTTTTGGTGCACGGGAATGACCTCCAACCAACAGAGCAACACCAGCCAGGGTGATGAATTTATTTTTTATGTTTGATAATTACTTGTCAAATTTTGTAAAATGTTTAAGGCCTAGACTGCTACAGTTAAAGAAAATAAAACATTTCACTGAAAATACATATATTGGCTCTAGCAAACTTATTCAACAAACATTTAAAAAAATTTAAAGATAAAACATTTACATTAGGAAAAATCTACGTGTGAAAGAGGAATAGAAATTTTAGATGAAGGAGAAAAATAAATGATGTGAAATTTCAAGTGTTAGAGAAAGGTTTCTTCATATCATTTATTTTTTTAAATGAATAAGGTTGGGTGTCAAATTTCTATGGCATTTACTTTCTATGAATAAATGCTAAAAAATGATTTAACTGGACCATTTACAACATAGTGTAAGTGACATACTCTGAAACTATTGAAATGTATGATGAATAATGGTTGATGGGGAAGACTTTTAGATGGACCCAGCTTTTGGAGGAAGTTCAGGAATTCATTTTAGACCTGCCAAGTCTGAAATGCCTATGAGACCGCCAAGGAGAGGTACAGAATAGCACATGGGGGAGAAGTACGGACTGGAAAGGTAAACTTTGGACTTAACACAGATATGGCTTTAAAACTGTGAGACAGGATGTACCACCAAAGAAATCAATGTAGGTTGAGAAAAGGAGATTAAGAACTGGACCACAAGGCAGCACAATGAGGGATCGGGGAGAAGAAAAGATTGAGAAGGAACAATTGGTGAAATAGAAAATTGAAGACAACGTGGAGTCCCGGAAGCCAAGTGAACACACACAGTGGAGAAGGGAATGGTAAACTGTAGCAACTGCTATTCAAGGTCAGGGAAGGTGAACCACTGGATTCCACTGAGCTGAAGCCCTGATAAAAATGATTTTATGAGAAAATTGGTCAGAAAAGGATTCGAGAAATAAACAGTAGCTGGTACAGAAATTGAGATCAAGAGGTGGATTTAGTTCTTTTTTTTTTTTTAATATGGAAGCATTAACAGCACATTTGTGCAAAGACATGGTCCAGTAAAGAACAACACAAAATGTAATTTAAGAAAGAGAGGAAAGACTTACAAAAGCAATATTCCTAAGCAGATATACAGAATAGTGTATTGTAGGCTTGAAACCGTTACCCTTAGAAAGGTCTGCTTGCAAGGGCGGCTCTGAGGTCTGGGAACTTGGTCTTGGGTGAGTTCCCACAACTCCCATAAGTGATAAAAGTTGCTCACTTTACCTTAACTATTTGTGCAAACAACGCAGTTTATGTTAAACACCTGCTTTCTTGCTGGGACTATGACATGGTATATACTAGGAAGAGGTGAAAAGGTGATCATCCCCCAGTGAAATCCTGGGGCACCGAGTCCTTAATGATCTCCCCTGGTAGATAACACTTCACACGTTACCTGAGGAATTAAGTGCATTCTGTATGACTCCCCTGAAAGAAAACTCTTGTACGCTCGCTCTTGGTTCCCCCTGGGCTTTGCTCCATGCATCTTTCCTCTGCTGATTTTGCTTTGTATTATTTCACTGCAATACAACATAGCCATTGAGTATGACTATGCGCAGTGTCTGTGGGTCCTTCCAACAAGTGACCACACCTGGGGTGGTATTGGTGACTCCTGAAGAGTAGGCAGAAAGAAAAGGGGTGCAGGGCACAAGTGGAGGTGTTGGCTTTAGGCAGAGGAATAGTTTTTCTATGGTAACAGGAAGAATGGCGGACTATACAGGCGAAGATGCTGGCGAATGGACAGATGTGATGGAAACTGGGAATTTCTCTTCTACCTCACTTCAGTGTTTCCAGTGAAGTAAGTGAAGTAGAAAAGTGTGGTCAGCTAAACTTGAAAATGGGGAGGAGGAGGTACTGCAGGTGGGAGGAGAGAGAAAAAGTTATAAAACCCTCATCTGGGAAAGTGGGGAGCAGAATAAAATGAGGAATTAAAGTATGAGTGCCAGATAGTGTTAAGGAGCTAGCTGAGGTCCAAGGGCACAAACATGAGACAAAATCAGTAAGTGAACTTCCTTCTTTCCTTCTGCATGCTTCTGGCATATAGTAGGTGGAGGGTTGGGTTTAACTAAAGTTGTTGTTTTGCCAAGTAAATGTAATTAAGAGAGGGGCAAGGGATTTGATGGCGTAATTAGTACATTCACTGACATGAGACTTCAGCTGGATGAGCATGGGAAAGCGTGGATATGGACCAGGAGCAGAAAGATGGTTAAGATAATTGATTCTTATCTGCTGCACTTGAAAAAAGAAGGGTATTGGTCAGAAAGATTTGAGGGGTTGGTCAGACAACTGTCTGGGATGAGGTTACAAGGAGTTGCAGTTATCACCAGTATCACGTTCCATGGGAGTGAATGGCTAAGTTAGAGACTAAGATAGTTGGAAATGGGAGGTTAGAATGCCACAATAATCATCTATATACGCATTGAGATCATCAATAATTAAAAAAGAAATATTGGTGGAGAGTGTGCTAATGAATCAGGGGCTAAAACTGTTGAGAAATAAAAAGACCCAGGGACAGATTAATGATAATAACAAAGCACGGTAGTGACCACTCAGATGAGATTTAAAGTTCAGGAGTTTTAGGGATAAGAGGGAAAATGGATCATGATCAACAATACGCTACAAGTGTGGCAGGACAGTAAGAAGCTAGGAACATTCCTTGGCAAGTGGAAGAGGGAGACTAAAACAACAAAAATTCAACAAAGCCAAACAATTTGGGCAGCTTGCAGCCAGCCTGTGAATCTCAAGACCTTATCTTCCCCAGCCAAGGATACTTGAGAGCAAATGGTTTATTCCTCCCCTCCCTAACCAGAGAATAGGTAGCTTAAATCACCCTGGTCCGGGAAATAGAGAACAAAGATCCAATTAATGTCATTTATGGCAGCTAAACCCAAGGACAGATGAAGTCAGGGAACAAATAACAAAGACCCCATGAAAGCCAGACAGACCTCAGGACAGACTCCAGGCAGCTAATTCTAGAGCATGCCCATGCCCCTTCCTAGGCATGACCTTTTTATTTTTCCTTAACTGTAAGGGTCCCCAAGAGACTTGCAACCCGGGGAGCAATGGGCAATGGCAGCTTGACCCAGGCTCACCCCCTGATCCTGTCTCCAAGGCCTTTTTTGTCTGACTTCCCAGTGAGCTAACAGCAGCCCACCTGGGCTCACTTTTTTCCAATGACGTTCCTGTGGAACCAAAGCAGAGCACGCCGGGGCTCTCTCCTGTTGCTTCTTCTGCTCTAAGTCCTTCCTTTGTTTCACTGTGCCCAGCTTTAATAAACGTGCTCTCACAACCATCTGGAGTCGTCTTGTGAAATCTTTCCTACAGGAAGTCCAGAACCCACACACTGCAGGCTGGCCTGAGACAGACCTGCTCTGCGCCAGTCCCTGTCCAGTAACCAGCAGGGCGGGGCACCTGCCCATCCCTATAGAGAGGCTCTACAAGAAAAACACCACCACCACTCGAGAGGACTGTGGGGAGGGCAAGGAACCTCAACGAAGAGCTGGATGCAGGGGACATTCAGAGAAGAGATGAAATAGTGGGTACATTTCAGAGGACTGGTGGGAGGGATTCCAGGGCAAAGGTGAGAGAAAGGGACAGAAATAGGTATGCATAGGGTCCTATGGGGATGATAGCTATAGTTTTTAATTTTTATCTTACATGACATTTATTTCTTATGTGAGTATGTTAGTATGTGTGTATGTACTTCCCCAAATGGATTAGTTCATGGGGAGCATCCCTGTGGAATTACAGAATGTGCTTCCTTTTATTCCTCCCATTTCTTTCTCATAAGTACTTACCGCCTTTATTTCTGCTTCTTTCTTTACTTCGTCAACATAGGAAAGCACAAAGTCAATTTGCCTGATCCCATCTCGGAAGAAGATAGAGTCCTTGCTCTGTTTATCTTTTTTAAACTGCAGGAGACATGGATGACAGAACTTTAAATTACAGTTTTATTTTCAAATGGCAAAAACATGATATCCAAAATTAGCTAAAATTGGGTTACTATCGAATTTTTTTCAGTCCTGAAATGATAGGTAAAGACAAATAACCCGAGATTTCATCAACAGAGAATTAATGCTTGTTTCAGATAATGAAACTCCATAAAGGAGATATATGTTAAACAATAAAGACTCTAGATGAAACTAAGTATAACAACAACATGCACTCAGAACAAAAATGGTGAAATCAGACCCAAGTATAAAATGAAGATATGTACACATTGATCCCAAAATGCATGTTCAGAGAGAGACTTGTTATTTTCATTAAACAACATGCCAATTAGTTCAACAAATAATTAATAGTCACACACTACTTTAGGTGTAAGTAATTATAGACTCATTAATGAATCTCACTATAAAAAAAGAAAGTTATGATTAATAATTATACTATGATTTCATAAAATTGTCACTTTCTAATTCAGCTTTTGAAGTTTTAAAATAAAATCAAGGTGCAGTTAAAAATTAGAAAGCAGGTAGCTTGCAGCTGGCTTCACTACAAGTAAAGTCTCATGCAAATCTCCTTTCAACATCAATTTCTAAGGTGTGTCCAAGTCAACCCTTGGTTTAATTTGGGTTATCAATTCTCTCAGTATAATGATCAAATTTTCACATGGTGTGCAGTTCACTGGTGTGTCCCTTTCAAAACTGCAAAGACAGTAGAGTGCTTCAGAAAGAAAGGATTTCATGTTTGACAGATTCGGTCTTCTTCATAGTTTATATGCGATCTGTAATACTTAATACTTGGAAGAGCCCACTTATAATACTGAGAATGATGCAGAGATGATGCAGTGTTTGTCAGTAATCTCTCTAACCCTGTGATGCAAAGTTATAACGTAGAAACTTTCCAATTGCTGTACTTAACCCGTGAATGAAGAACTAGATTTTTAAAATTTTCATAACTGGTGTTTATATCAGTTTACAAGTTTCTTTTACGGTGCTCTATGCTGTTTTTCAGCCCAGCTGGGCCAGCCAGTCCTCCCGCATAAAGAAATGAATGTGGATCAGTCATGTAGGAAGAACATCTTGTGTATGATCTGTGGTCTGTGAACAGAGTAACTTGCCTGTTGTCTACATGAACACGTAGCTGATGTGTCTGAGAAAGCAGCAGCTCCCAGTGCACAGAAGGAAATGGGTGGGAAAACAGATTCAACAACAAAAAATATTTAGGGAGCCTAGAGATTAAATATCAAAATATGATAACTCAAATGTTATGTCTGAGTTTTCTGTACCCCAAAGGATTATATAATCATTTCCCTTTTCCTAAAAGAAAGTAAAACAAACTAAGAAAACTCAAACTGTTATCTTATACATTGATTATAAATCACTAAAAAAAAGTAAAAGTAAACAAAACAAGTCATTTGAGTCTTCTTGGAAATCATCAGAGTATTAACATATGCAATTCACTGAAATTTGTGGAAGCCAACCAAGACAAAAAAAACTAATTACACTAAATATAATCAAAGCATAAAATTCCAGGGAAGAAACCCAATATGTTCTAAGTCAGTGGCAGCTATATTTTGCATGGTATTTTATAAAAAAGACCAGCATATATTTACAAATGCTCTTACTGTTTGTACAAGCTAAATCTAGGTGCACAGAGTTCTGGTAACACAGGATGTGCACATAACAATAAAAAAACATTACACTCAGACTTATCTGACTATTAAGGAATACAAGTAGTTGGAAGAGTCCAGCTGGTGTGGCTCAGTGGTTGAGCATCGACTCATGCACCAAGAGGTCGCTGGTTCGATTCCCAGTCAGGGCACATGCCCAGGTTGTGGGCCAAATCCCCAGTTGGGGGCATGCAGGAGACAGTCAATTGATGTTTCTGTCTCTCTCTCCCTCATCCTTCCTCTCTAAAATGAAAAAAAGAAAAAAAAAAAGAAAAAGAAAAGAAACGGGCTGGGGCACAAGATTAAAACAAAATAAAAAGTAGTTGGAAGAACAGTGACTTCAATGGTTTTCCCAAGGGTTCACTCAAAATGGGTATATAGACTTCCCTTCTGCTGAAGCCAAAGGCTATATGGAAAAACTCAAACTTCTATCATTATGTTGTGCCCTAATTATAAACTAAAAATTGTTGAAAATATGGAAAAATTACAGTTAGCCTTGTAAATCACCATGAGGTACATGTCGGGACTGTCAACAAAAAACAGTCGAAGCCACTGGGGCAGAAAAACCAGAAAATTTTGTTACACCTAACCAAATACTATTAACACCCATCACTCTTTTGTTTCGCCCAAGACATGGCATTAAGTTATTTTGCAGTGTGTATACAAGTGTGAGTTTGTGTTTATATTTGATTTACTCTTAGAAATGCCTATAATGAACCAAACATCTGGATGCCTTTTCTTTGAATTAGGTAGTTATTCTGAAGTCCATAGACTTGGATTCCTGATGGGGGTTCATCATCAGGATGTAAATTGGTATGTAAATTGTGTGTTTGTATTATGTGCGTGTGTACATGTATGACACACGTACATATACACATTTTTAAGAAGAGGTTCCATAGCTTTAATCAGATCAGAAAGCAAAAACCGTTAAGATTCACCATTCTGACACCTCAGGTGACAGGGGAATAGGCATCAAAACAAAGACACCCCTCGCCCCCAGTGACTTCGACTATCACTACAGCCATCCACAGCATAAGCAGCATCATTCAGCACTGCTTTTACCATAAGACGTCGCATCAGGAACAAATTGTATCTCTTTGCAGGCTGTGAAGCAATCAATCGAGAGTTAGCAAGTCCTGCACAGGATTAAAGAAAAGATTCCAAACATCATGAATGGACCTGGAGAGTATTATGCTAAGTGAAGTAAGCAGTAAGAGGAAGACAACTACCATATGATTTCATTTATATGTGAAATCTAATGAACACAATCAACAAAACTGAAACAGACACAAAGATAATAGAGAACTGACTGACAGCTGTCAGAGGGGAGGGGGTTGGGGGCTGGGTAAAAAGGTGAAGAGATTAAGCAAAAAAAGCCCAAACACCATAGACACAGATAACAATATGGTGATTACCAGAGGGACGGGGTGGCGGGTAGGTAGAAGAGGGTATAGAGGGGATTAATAAGGATGAAGGGAACCTACTTTTGGCGGTGAACACAATATAATAATATACAGATGATGTACTATAGAATTGTATACCTGAAACCTATATGTCATTCCAATACATTAAAAAAAATATTTAAAAAGGAAGAAATAAAAAATAAAACAAAAAACCAACAGTAATTTTTTTCACTCATTTGCCATATTGACAATACAAATACAAATTTGGTCTAAACGTACAGACTCTCAAACAACAATGTACGTACGGGCTTTCTTCACCCTCCATGCTAAGTGATGTCAAAGTTTAAGAGTCAAAGAATTTTAAAAAAAGAAAAGATTTCCAACAAAACCGACATACAAACTCTCAGTATGATCACTGAAGTGAATGTGCAAATGTAAGGGATATTTAAAGTTGGAGGGTTGGAGAAGTCAGAAAGAAGGAAATAACAAAAATAGAAAGAAAACAATAAAGAATAAAGACAAGAAAAAAAGAAGACTTCAGTCATTTTCCCTAAGTCCTTTATACAAAACATTAAATAATACATATTTGTGGAACTGAATTAAAGAAGAAAGGACGATGTAAGGAAAAAGAATAATGAATTAGACCTCAAGAAACTTGAGTTCTAGTCCAGGGTCTGCTCCTTAAACATGTGGATAATTTTGGTCAAAACAAGAAACCTCTTAGACCCTTCATTTTTTCATTTGTAAAACAGAAATTAAATTTCAAGCAAAGTGTTACGTTTCATGTGTCATCCTCATCAATATGTCTGATGTTTCTTATTTCCCCATAAGAAGCTGATTTTTTCGAAAGTGATAAATTCTCAAATGTCATGTATGAGGACCTGAAAAATAACTGTGATCTGAGAAAGAGAGCATCAACATCACTGGCTTAAAGTGTGGGGAAATAAAGGGACATTTGTAATACTGTCAACAATAAAAACTAAACTTAAAAAAATAGCCCATTTGTGTCTATGCAAGAAACTATAATATTAAGATGTCCTTTGATAGATGATGGTCCAATCATCTATTTAAAGATGTGGTACAATGAAATACTACTCAGCCCCAAGAAAAGCTGAAATACTGCAATTTGTGACAACATGAATGGACATTGAGAATATTATGCTAAGGGAAATAAGTCAGAAAAAGTTAAGAACCATATGATTTCACTTATATGTGAAATATAAAAGTGAAACTCGAAGACACAGACAACAGCATGGTGGTTACCAGAGGGAAGGGGGAGGGGCAGTAAAGGGTAAAGGGGGCCAACTATATGGTGATGGACGATGATTTGATTTTGGGTGGTGGACACACAATGCAATATACAGATAACGTATCAGAATGTATACTTGAGGCTTAGGCGGTGTGACTCAGTTTGTTGGAGTGTTGTGCTGTTCACCAAAAGATTGTGGGTTTGATTCCCGGTCAGGGCACATACTTGGATTGTGGGTCCAATTCCTCGTCTGGGCTGATACAGGAGGCAGGAAGGCAACCAATCAGTGTGTCTCTGTCACACTGACGTTTCTTTCTCCCTCTCTCTCTCCATTTTCTCTCCCCTACTCTCTCTAAAATCATTTAAAAATTGCCTTTATTAGAAAAAGAAATCTACACTTGAAACCTGCATAATCTTATTAAACAATGTCACCCCAATAAATTTAATTTTTAAAAAAGTCTAGTGCTGATCGCTGCTTACCGTTGAATCTTCACTGATGAGGAAGCTGGTCTCTCTGCTGCTCAGGCTCTGCTAATAGCACCAGGGGAAGACACGATGCTGTTAATAATGATGCAAGTGGAGTGCACAGAACTGTCAACAACAAAAACCCTGGCTTCTCTCTGGGAACTACGAAACCTGCAATTCAAGGGAGCTATCCAACACCTGTAACTACATGCAAAACAATGTGTATATAAGTGTACACATGCGCATGTGTATTCATGCAAGTGTGGGTGTATATATGTATATGTGTGTTTGTGAAGAGAGAGGGAGCTTGAGAGAGAATGAGAATGAAAATTTTGGAGGTAGCTTTATCAAATCATAAAAATAAAATTGAGACGCAAGAAATGGTTAAGAACTACTATGTTCAGAGAAATAGCAACGATCTCCATTCTTTTTATCATGATGAATCCTCAACATGACCAAAACAAAGGGCAGAATGAATTGACTATTATAGGCCTTTCAACCATTTGATGACATTACTAAAACAGTGGGAAGAGCTGTGGGAAAAATGGGTCTATAAGTAAATAAATGCTCAAAATCCGATTTCACTGATATGTGATTCTATCTGCCTGTGGATCTTGAATGAATTCCATTAACTCACTTAAAAAAGTCAGATATCAGCACTGTTTTGGCTACAACCCTCAAATGTTAATATGTTGCATTTTTACTTTTATTCAGTTCAATGTTTTGTGTTTGTTTTTTTCCTTGAGAATTTCTTTGACTCATGGATTATTTAGAGGTATGTTGGTTAGTTTCCAATTGTTGCAGATGTTCCTGCCATCATTCTATTACTGATCAGTTTGATTCTATTGTGGCCAAGGAACGTACTCTATGATTTCCATTATTTTAAATTTGTTGAGGTCTGTTTTATGGCCCAGAATATGGTCTATTTTGGATACGTTCCATAGGTATGAAAGGAATGTGTACCCTCTTGTCGAGTGTAGTAGTTTAAAAATGCCAATTGCATCCTGTTGGTTGGTGTATTAAGCTAATCTATATCCTTGCTGGTTTTCTCTTTAGTTGTGCCATCTATTGTTGAGAATGGAGTGCAAGTCCCCAGTTGTAACTATAGATTTGTTTATTACTCCTTTCCATTATATTATTTTTTGCCTCACATAGTATGACGCTATTATTTGGTTCATGCAACTTTAGCATTGTTATATCTTAATGTTGGATAGGCACTTTTAATCATTTTATAATGTACTGCTCTGTCCATGGTAATTTTATTTGCTACAAAGTGTACTTTATATATTAATTAAGCACTCTGGCTTTCTTTTCTTTTTTTAAAAAATAAGTTTTTATTGATTTTTTTAGAAAGAGAGAGAGGAAGGGAGACAGAGATAGAAACATTGATGTGAGTGAGATACATTGATCGGCTGCCTCCTGCACGCCCCCCACCGGGGATCGAGCCGGCAACCCAGGCACGTGCCCTGACCTGACCCGGAATTGAACCGGGACTTCTCAGTCCATGGGACAACGCTCAATCCACTGGGCCTTGCTGGCCGAGCCAGCACTCCTGCTTTCTAGTAAATGCTTGTCCATATCTTCAGCATAATATTTTAATCCTTTTACTTTCATGTTTCTAATCCACTTTGCAAATCTGCCTTTCAAATGGTATGTTTAGACTATTTACATTTCATATAATTATTGATGTATTGGGATTAATTCTGCCATTTTATTTTTCGTTTTGTTTGTTCCCTGTGTTATATTTATTTTATTTTTCATGACATCCTGTGGGTTTTGGAGCTTTCTTAATAATTCCATGCTGATTTATCTAAACCGTTTTTGAGTGTATCTCTATGGATAGTTTTTTAAGTGGTGGGTTTTTATATTACATCATATATACATTACTTATCACAAGCTACAATATGTATGTTTTATCTGTTAAGTGAAGTATATCATCCTCACATCCATTTACATCTCCAAAAGTCTTTGTAATTGTCTTAAATATTTCTCTGCATTGATAACATCAGAAATTCTTAAACATTTTTACTTTGCTGGCTGGTTTGGCTAAGCGGTTAGTTAAAGCTCTGCCCTGTGGACCAAAGAGTCTCGGGTTTGATTCCTGGTCAAGGGCATGTACCTTGGTTGCAGGTTTGACCCCCAGCCTCTGTTGGGGTATGTGCGGGAGACTACCAATTGAGTCTCTCTCACATTGATATGTCTTTCTCTCTCTCTCTCTCTCTCTCTCTCTCTCTCTCTCTCTCTCTCTCTCTCCCCCCCCTCCCTTCCCCCCTCCCACTCTACCTAAAAATCAATGAAAAAATATCCTCAGGTGAGGATTTAAAAAGTAAATAAATAGCCCTGGCCAGTTTGGCTCAGCGGTTAGAGCGTTGACCTGCGGTCCAGAGAGACCCGGGTTCGGTTCCCGCTAAGGGCACGTACTTCGGTTGCAGTTTGTCTCCGGCCCTGGTTGGTCGTGCGGGTGGCAGCCACTTGATGTGTCCCTTCACGTCGATGTTTCTCTCTCTCTCTCTCTCTCTCTCCCTTCCTCTCTCCCTCCCACTCTATCTGTACAAAAAAAAAAAAGGAAAAATATCCTCGGGTGAGGATAAAAAAATAAAAAATAAAAAGTAAATAAATAAATAAATATAAAAATAAATAAACTTTTACTTCAATTATCAAATATAATTTAGGAAACTCAGAAGAGAAAGTCTATTGTATTTACTCATATTTTAGTGTTTCTGTTTTTTATTATTATTATTATTAGTTATCCTCACCTGAGGACATTTTTGCATTTATCTTCAGATAGAGCAGGAAGGAGAGAAGGGGTGTGAGAGAGAGAGAAACATCAATGTGAGAGAGACACATCGACTGGTTGCCACCCACAAGACCCCAACCGGGGCTGGGGACAAACTGAAACCAAGGTACATGCCCTTAGCGGGGACTGAACCTGGGACACTCTGGTCCGTGGGCTGATGCTCTAACCCCTGGGACACTCTGGTCCGTGGGTTGATGCTCTAACCCCTGGGACATTCTGGTCCGCGGACTGATGCTCTAACCCCTGGGACATTCTGGTCCGCGGGCTGATGCTCTAACCCCTGGGACACTCTGGCCCGTGGGCTGGTGCTCTAACCCCTGGGACATTCTGGTCCGTGGGCTGGTGCTCTAACCCCTGGGACACTCTGGCCCGGGGGCTGATGCTCTAACCCCTGGGACATTCTGGTCCGCGGGCTGATGCTCTAACCCCTGGGACACTCTGGTCCATGGGCTGATGCTCTAACCCCTGGGACACTCTGGCCCGCGGGCTGATGCTCTAACCCCTGGGACACTCTGGTCCGTGGGCTGATGCTCTAATCACTGAGCCAAACCGGCCAAGGCAGTGCTTCTGCTTTTCCCCTCCTTCTACATGCTACGATATTCCTTGTTGTCATTTTCTTTCAGTTAAAGAAACTATGGCCAATCTTGTAGGGTAGATGTGCTGGTAAAATTGTTCTTCCTCCATTTGAGAATATCTTGATTTTCTATTGATTCCCAAAGGATCCTTTCATTGGCTATGGAATTCTGGACTGGCGGTTTTTTGAGCACTTGGAACAATGGTACCACTTCCCCAGACTTCTGACGAGGAAGCTAATGTCATTCTAATTACTTTCCCCCTACAGTTAAGGTGCTTTCTCTCTCCCACTGCATGCCGGATATATGTTTGTGTCTTTAGTTTCCTGATCTAGTTTTAGTTTCATTGATGTGAATTTCTTTGAGTTTATACTCCTTGTGGTTCTTCAGCTTCTTGAATTGGTAGGTTGATGTATTTTGATGAATTGAGATATTTTTCCAGCTATTATTTCTTCAAACATTATTTTAGTCCACTCTCTCATATCTGAGGACTTCAATTACACAGATATAAGATCCTTTGTTACAGTCCCACAGTTGCCTAAGGCTTTGTTCATTTTTTTTTTTTTCATTTTCTTTCTCTCTTCTGTTTAGATTGGGTAATTCCTATTCTATCTCCAAATTCAGTGATTCTTTCCTCTATTCATTCCACCTGCTGTTGAGTTATTAATTTTCTAATCTCGGTTGTTTTGTTTTTCAATTCTAAAATTTGCAATATGTTCTTCTTTAAAATTTCTGTTATATTTTTTGCTGATACTTTCTATTTCTTCGTGTTTCAAGCATGTCCACAATTGCTCGTTGAAGCATTTGCATGATAGTTGTTTCAAAATTCTAATCAGATCATTCTAACATCGGTGTCACCTCAGCATTGGTATTTGTTGTCTTTTCTCATTCAAGTTGATATCCTTGTGGTTCTTTGTTATTATACATGATTTTCTATAGAAATCTCAACTGGTAGGGTACCGTGTTTTAAGACTCTAGGTTTTACACAGCAAAACAGAAGACTTACTAAGTCTTCTCTGACACCACTCTGGTGGGGTAAGTAGAGTGATACCTTACAACCCGGTGGGAGTAGAATTCCAGGATCCCCACTCAGCCTCTGTGGATGTGAGGCGTGTGGAATGGGGGACGGGCTTCTCATTACTGCTGGGTGGAAGTTCCAGCTCACCATTGGGCCCTCACTGATCCCAACCTGCCTGGAAATGGCATGGTGCCTCCTTGCTGCTCCCTACATGGCCTAGTGTCATCACGGCAGGGAGTGGTGTGGAGGTGGCGTCTCTACTTCTACACAGTGGCGAAATCCTGGCTTTCCAGCAGGCCGCCCCTGACAGCAACCGGCCCACACGAGCCGAGCACCTTGTTACTAGGGATGAGAGGGGAAGTCAGGCTTCCCACATGTGCTCCTCTTATTCCATGCAGATGAGTATGTGGGAGGGACACATTCTCACAGGACCTGCCTTTTCTTTTCTTTTTTTTCTTTTTTTTAAATATGTTTTTATTGATTTTTTTAGAGAGAAAGGAAGGGAGAGAGAGAGAAAGAAACATCAATGTGAGAGAGAAACCTCAATCAGCTGCCTGTAGCACCCCCCCCCCCACTTGCGACTGAGCCCACAGCCAGGGCACGTGCCCCAGACTGGAATCGAACCAGGACCTCCCAGTCCATGGGGCATCAATCAATCTACTGAGCCACACAGCAGGGCTCGGGGAGAACCTGCCTTTTCAAGTGTCAAACCCTTAAACTGTCTTTTCCAGTGCTAAGTATATTGAAAAGAAACTAAAGAATAAATATTTCAAATCAGAATATCCTTCCTATGTCCACCAGTCAATAGTTCGATTTCAGCAACACTAAAAACGAAAACCTGAAAACTATGACATATGATATTACTAAAATACTATGGTTGAGTTTCTGAGTGTGGCAAGCCAAATCGAAAGTCTTAAAAATGTGAGCAAAATTGTTTGGAATAAAGACCCTGCTGAGGTTGAAGCCACAGAAGCAATATCCATTGCTCTTGAAATGTGCAAAGGGACAAGGAACATCATAAATATGACATGAACTTACTTTTCTGTTATAGAAGTTTAAGTCTGGAGTATATATAAATATGAAAGATACAGAAGCAAAGAACGTAACTGTAACTGAAGCTAACTTGAGAACTACATCTAAAAATCTGTGAGCCTATTATAATTATGTCAATGTGAACAAAATGAAAATGATAATATATTTATTATCATTTAAAATGGTTCACTTTTATAAGATAAATCTTTCCTCAGACTGCTCTAAAGACATGGAAGCTTGAATTTTTCATGTCCTTTATTTTCTAGATAGTTGTCTTGATTCATTTACTCAATAAATATGTTCTCTGTGTCACATGACATCACTTTAGTTGTGGAGACTCTACATTACGACAGTGGTTTTCAAACTTTAATGGCAATAAGAATCACCTGGGTGCTTTTCAAAAATCATGACTTCTTAACCTTATCCTTAATAGGACTGATTAGTATTCTGAGGTTGGGCCCAAGAGGTTGCATTTTAAAGAACTTTTTTGATATAATTCTCGTTCAGGCGGTCTTTGAACTACATTGTAAAAGTTATTGGACAATATGATTTCCATAGTCCCTCCAGATCTCATATTTTGTTTCTCTCAGCATTTTGATCATTGAGTTTTTAAAGGAATCACAGAACTTATGGGAATCTTAAGTCAACCAGCGTATTCAGCCAGTTTACCCAGCTAACTATGGTGATAGGCTCTCTTTCCCGGGGTGAGGATTTCAGTCATTCCTAAAATGCTGTTTTTAAAGAATCTTTTTTAATCTTGCTGGACACTCCTAACCCAATTCAAAGGCACGGACCTCTGTGAGGACTGCTGAGGGTCAATCAGAGCCTACCAGAAAGATGACTGTGTCTGAAACACCTTCAGAATCCTTACATTCTCTATACAAGAAATCCTAATTGTTGGTATCTTTCTGCAAGTTTATATAAATAAAATAAGGCCTCTGGTCAAGAAAATTTTGTATTTTTACAAGTAGTATTTAATTTTATTATTTATTATTTTATTTAATATGTTTACTTAACTCAGGTTGAGTCACTGGACCCCGGCACAGTCATCAATAAGCACTAATCACATACTAATAACTGTAACATAAGAAGCTGTCACATAAATCTACATTACACTCTAGCAAAGTGTAAGACAAATACTATTACCTTGCATATCAAGTCTTAGCTTTCTGAGTTTATTTCACAGGGAGCCTGAAAACAAATCCAAGCTTGTGTTTGCTCACTTATAACATCTAGAAAGACCAAGTATTAAATCTGCATGAAACATGGAATTTGCTTTACTTACTAAAAAATGAATAGGTTAGAGGACAAAATAGAAAGAATGTAGTATGAGCAAATACTACATTCTAATAACTAATAACTGAAGTACAAAGACCTAAGTATTAATATGAAGTATAGTTCTGACCTAGCCTCGGTTTTTCGTTCTGACTTATAGAAAGCTAATATATATTTAACTTACCTCATTTGTTTCAGAACCAAAGTCTGCAGTCCTACTGGTTCTTCTTTCTAAATTAAATAAGAAAGAAAAAAAAAACATGATAAATGGCCACTTGATCAGAATATGTTAAGAGTCTGCCTGTAAAGAAAATAGAAATTCAAAAATCAAACAAAAAGGTTCAAGGAAAAAAATACTGAAAGAAAATGCCCAAGATATTCCTGAAGCTAAGTTGTTCAAAACAGCCTCCAAAAGAAGTCAATACCAAAACCTGTCTATAATCTAGGAGAAAACCATCAAATACTGATATGTAGGATATAATCACACCGACTAAAAAATAAACTTAACTCTGATAAATGTGATTACTAAATACATAGCCACAAAACTTTTGAGAGAAAAGGATTCCACAGGGATGTCTATCACTATCTTTGTTCTTATTGTGTAATACTTAATATTCTATCAGCATGTTTTCCTGGAGTTGACCCGAACTGGTTGCAAGTAAAGCAACTTAAGAATACAACATAAATTCAAAGCTATCAAACATCATTTACATGGCATTAACGTACATCTCACAAGGTGTGTGAATTTTTAAAGAGATGATAATGCATGTAAAGTGCTTCATGCAGTTGATACTGTTATTATTATTATCAGGATTTGTTCTATTCTTTTGTTAAACTTTAAAACTTTTAAATTCTTTGGGATAACTTTTAGAGTGTCAGAATAAAGGTGAAATAATTTCTTTTGTATTCAGATCTTTTGGTTACAGGATCTGTTATTTTAAAAGTTAATAGTTATTACAAGCAAAGAAGGAAAACAGACTGTACCTACAGCTACATCACTTAACTTTTTGGAGTGCAGAACTTCTCATCTATAAGATTAAAAACATAAGTAAAAAGCATTTGAAAAACATAAAACATTATATAGTACCATCATGAGTACTGTTTAGATGTACAGTTCAAAACTCCATAATGCTTTAACCATCTCTCATTGTATTTTTTTAATGAAAAGGACACCAATCTAGCAAACTCTTATAGTGAGTTTATAAAGAATTGGCCCTTTGCCCTGGCCGGTTTGGCTCAGCGGTTAGAGCGTCGGCCTGCGGTCTGGAGAGACCGGGGTTTGGTTCCCGCTAAGGGCACGTACCTCGGTTGCAGTTTGTCCCCGGCCCTGGTTGGTCGTGCGGGTGGCAGCCACTCGATGTGTTCCTTTCACATCGATGTTTCTCTCTCTCCCTCCCACTCTACCTGAACAAAAAATGGAAAAATGTCCTTGGGTGAGGATAAAAAAAAAAAAAAAGAATTGGCCCAGCCGGTGTGGCTCGTAGTTGAGCATCAACCCATGCACCAAGAGGTCGCTGATTCGATTCTTGGTCAGGGCACATGCCCAGTGTGTGGGCCTGATCCCCATTGAGGGGCATGCAGGAGGTGGCCATTCGATGTTCTCTCTCATCGATGTTTCTATCTCTCTCTCCCTTCCTCTCTCTAACATCAGTAAAGAAATTTTTTTTTTAAAAAATTGGACTCTAAGAAATACATGATTTATCTCCCAATGTATGGAACTTGAGAACTGACTTAGGGAGGTGTTCACTACTCTCCAGGACAAAAACAGTCACCATTATGCAAAATAAGTAAATAGAGTTCCAAGTACAGAGTAAACAAGTTCAAGCCTTAAGAAGCTCGTGGCAGATTAAACAAACAAACAAATGCCATTTCTATACAGGAGCCTCTCATGCAAATCACACTTCAGGAGAAGCATGCACTAAGTTCCTCCCATCGGAGCCAGCCCTTATAAACAGGACTGAGACGCTCCCTGTCCAGGTGGAGCTGTGCAGCTGTAACCCCATCAGCATCTTCACCAACCCATCACAGTGCCTCTATTCTGACCAATTAGCACTGAACTGCTATGATGTGGAGTCCTCATTTGTAAGAGGATGGACCAATCAGCGACCAAGGGCGGGGACTTCTGTCAATATAAGCCAGCTTCCTTCTGGCTCAGAGTGCACTTTCCCTTTCCACCAAAAACTGAAGACTGGATACCTTGGCTGGACCCGAAAACCAAAGATGTCTTACTAGAGCAGACTGGAGTGGACGCGATGGGAACAGAGTGAAGCAGTCCAAAGAGCATATCAGAGCTGTCTCTCAGCAGAGGGGCCTGGCCTTGCCCCAAGGTCACCTGGCCCCAGAGCCACCTGCCCCCAGAGCTGCTCCACAGCTGTGCTGCTTCGTAATTGAGCTGAATAAAGTTCCCTTCTTCACTGAACCCCAAACTGGGGATTTCTGTTGGCAATGAATTGGCACCAATGACCATTCGTTGACAAAGAGTGTTTTATAATTCTATTTTTTTGAAGAGAAAGTTTTTGAAGCACCTCCTTCATCTCGTTATTATTGCTGCATTGAACATATCGTTAAAAAATATCTTCAAACCGCTGTTGGAAATCGATGCGATGCGTTTATTTGAGAATGTGAAAAAAGGTCAGTATTTTTCCTCCAGATTATCTCCTATCTCTACTAATACTCTCTTATACTTTGCTTTCCCCTTTCAATTCGCTGTTTCCTTTCCCTAGAAGTAACAACTATTTTCTTCCTAGGCTAACTCTTGCTAACTTCTCACACTGTATCAGGCCTGGCTTGAAACCTCCTCATCTGCCCCCTGGATTAGCCTCCTACCTGCTCCCATACCACCCTGAATGTAGCCCTCTCTGGGCACCTAGCCCAATGATTCTTCCCTCAAGACTGAAAGGTCCCTCTGAGAGCAGGTGTGTAAACTGTATCCTTTCCTGAGAGCGGAAAGATTAAAGAGGGAAGACGTACTACCTCTTGGACTACGCTCCCTCTTACACACAGTGCTCACTTGCTCCCCATCGCACGGACACACAAAATCAGATGGGCACACTCACTCACAGAGTATAGGATGTAATAACTATGCATAACTTCAAACCCCTGTCAAAACAGAGGCCTAGCTGAAGAGGCAGGATTTGAACCCAACAACTCTCAATCAGCTTTTTGTTCTTCCTCCTTCCTCTAAAATCAACGGCCTTGACTATATTCTTCCTAATGGACTAGAAACCACAGATAGGAAGGGCTTACTTCCAATTGTTGTAGAGAGACATAAAACATGAGCTGAAAGTAAAGTCAGCCCAAAGAGTGAGCTCTAAGTTTTCACTGAGAGCACATTACTAAGAATACACACTCCAGCAAAAACAGAGCCCCGAAATAACCCCGGTATTTTCCAAACGATCGTCTCAGTTTACACTCTTTCCAGCAGCATAAAAGGAAAATACACTTGACCCTTGAACAACACCAGGATTAGGGGCACTGATGCCCACCCCCCACAGTGAGAGGTCTTCGTGTAACTTTGGACTCTCCAAAAACTTAATTACTAATGGCATACTGTTGACAGGAACCCTTATGAATGACATAAATTGTTGATTAACCCATATTTTATATGCTATATGTAGTATGCTGTATTCTTATAATAAATTAAGATAGCAAAAAGAAAATGTTATTAGAAAAATCATCACTGACAATATTTACTGAAAAATATCCACGTATAAGTGGACCCACGCGGTTAAAACCCGTGTTGTTCAAGGATCAACTGTATATGCAATCAGATATTCACATTACCAAAGGATAGGTGGTTTGGTTAAATACAATGTTTAACATGGTTGTAAAGATGCAAGTAACTATACATTCAACTTCAAAGCTGCCTGTTCCATTGTTAATCCGGTAAACTGTCTTTCCAAGGCTGAATGTATCATAAATCAGCTAAAGAATGAATATTTCAAATCAAAACATCTTCCCTGTGTCAACCAGTCAATAGCTCAATTTCAGCAACACTGACATTTTACCAGCCGTATTTGTTTACATAACTATTTAAGTGTTCTATTACATTTTAAAAATTACTAGATAGTGATAAAGCAGCTAACTGTAGATAAGTTATTGCTGATGTCAAGAATATAAACTGAGAAAATGTAACATTTCTAATAAATATTAACTATTCCGAGTAAGGGCAAAATGCAAACATTCTTTCTCTGGGAAGAAATCTTATCACATGTAAATCAAGAGTTTGCTTTTCCACCCTGACTGTTTTGGCTCAGCAGTTGGAGTGTTGGCCTGTGGACCAGAGAGTCCCGGGTTTGTTTCCCGCTAGGGGCACGTACAAAAAAAAAAAAAAGGGAAAAAGAATATGCTTTTCTAATATTTACTCTTTTAAGGTGATTTAGGAAATACATAATATAAAAAAAGATCTAGGTTTACATGTTTAAGTAAATTTACTCTAAACATCTGTTTATTTTTTAAAACAGAGAAATAAAAATAGCTTCTAAAACTTGATACTGTGTAACACTATTTCTCAGCCTTCTTCAACCAACACTTTTGTTGTCATAACTGTGTCACTAAACTCTAGGAAGAAACATATTTTTAGAACCAGGCTTCCAAAAATCCACTGAACTATTGATGTTAAAAAATACATCCTCCTTGCCCAGGCCAGTTTGGCTCAGCAGTTAGAGTGTTGGCCCTTGGGCTAAAGAGTCTCGGGCTTGATTCCATTCAAGGGCATGTATCTCAGTTTTGGTTTGATCCCTGGCCCTGTCTGGGGTCCTACGGGAGGCAACCAGTCGATGTATCTCTCTCACATTGATGTCTCTCTCTCTCTCTCCCCCTCTCCCTCCCTTCCTCCCTTCCTCCCTTCCACTCTACCTGAAAGTCAATGGAAAAATATCCTAGGGTGAGGATTAAAAAAAAAAATGTATCTTCCTTGATTAAATTTATTCTTAGGTCGGGTTATTTTTCATGTAATTTTAAATGGGATTGTTTTCTTAGTTTCCCTTTCTGATAGTTCATTATTTGTGGATAAAAATGCAACTGATTTCTGGATATTTATTTTGTTTCCTGCTACTTTACTGAATTTATTTTTCAGTTCTAGTAGCTTTTGAAAATAAATTCAAAATAGGTTAAAGACTTAAATGTAAGACTCAAAACCATAAACTCCTAGAAGAAAACATAGTAAAATCCGGGACTTTTTTTTTAGAAAAGAAAAAATAAACAAATGGGACTACATAAAACTAAAAAGTTTTTGCACAACAAAGGAAACCAACAAAATGAAAAGACAGTTCACTGAATGGGAGAACATAGTCAACAATGATACATCAGGTAAAGGGTTAATGTCCAAAATTTATAAAGAACTCATAAAAATTAACACCAAAAAAGCAAACAATCTAATTAAAAAATAGCCCTGACCGGTTTGGCTCAGCGGTTAGAGCGTCAGCCTGCGGTCCTGAGAGACCCGGGTTCGGTTCCCGCTAAGGGCACGTACCTCGGTTGCAGTTTGTCCCCGGCCCTGGTCGGTCGTGCTGGTGGCAGCCACTCGATGTGTTCCTTTCACATCGATGTTTCTCTCTCTCTCTCTGTTCCTCTCTCTCCCTCCCACTCTACCTGAACAAAAAATGGAAAAATGTCCTCGGGTGAGGATTAAAAAAAAAAAAGAAAGAAAGAAATGGGCAAAGGACCAGAATAGACACTTCTCCAAAGAGGACATACAGATGGCCAATAGGCATATGAAAACATGTTCAATGTCACCAATCATCAGAGAAATACAAATGAAACCCACAATGAGATATGGCCTCGCACCTGACAGAATGACTATCATCAATAAACCAACAAACAACCAGTGTTGGCGAGGATATAGAGAAAAGGGGACCCTCGTGCACTCTTGGTAGAAATGCAGATTGTTGTAGCCACTATGGAAAGCAGTATGGAGGTTCCTCAAAAATTAAAAAAATGGAACTGCCTTATGACCAAGCTATTCTACTTCTGGGTGTTTATCTGAAGATAAACCCAAAACTGATTCAAAAGAACATATGCGCCCCTATGTTCACTGCAGTGCTATTTACAATAGCCACAATACAGAAGCAACCCAAGTGCCCATCAAGAGACAAGTGGATAAAGAAGTGGCGGTACATATATGCAATGGAATATTAGCCCCAAAAAAGAATGAAATCTTACCATTTGTAACAGCATGGATGGATCTAGAGGGTATTATGCTAAGTGAAATAAATCAGACAGAGAAAGACAAATGTCACATGATTTCACTTATATGTGGAATCTAAAGAACAAACTAAAGGAACAAACAAAACAGAAACAGATGCATAGATACAGAGAACAAACTTATGGTTGCCAGTGGCGAGGGAGGTTAGGGGACTGGGGGAAAAAGCTAAAGGGACTGAAAAGCACAGATTGGTAGTTACAAAATAGTCATCGGAATGTAAAGTACAGCACAGAAAATTAATACTGTAATAACCATATATGGTGCCAGGTGAATACTGGAAATATTAGCGGGAACACTTTGTAAAGTATATGACTGTCCAACCACTATGATGTAAACTGGAAACTAATATAAAATGATATGGAATGTAAACTGTAATTTAAAAACAACATCCTCACTGCAATGCACTTTTCATACAACCCTAGTAATAAAAGAGGTCTTAATAAGGGGAAGTAAAACCAACCCAGCAATATAATTGACATATTGAAAAACATTTAGAAAAAGAAGTATCATCTGAGTGGCTCAGACCACCCTGCTCATTAGGCCCCACCCCACCCTCACCAATCCACATTGCTCTGCTGTATTTGGACTCTGGATCTATCCAAAAAACAGGCAATAGGAATTTGGGTAGGCGAAATAATCAGAAACACCATCAAATATATATGGTATTCCATATCAATATCCTTTTCTCCTACCTTCACCCAAATTGGAGGCATAGTTTCAATCACAATAAGAGAAAATATAAATAAATTACAAAGGCCTTTGCCCAAAAAAGGGAAAACAAATTATTTTGGGAAAAGTTCTAAAACCTTCGTGGGATGAACTCAAGCTGCAATATGATATACATTGAAGTTATACTAGTTTAAGTATACATTCCAATAGGCAAAATTATCCTGAGGCTAAATCAGATCACACTTCTAACGTGTGAAGGAGAACTATGGTCAATCTCTGCAATGCCATATTGATTTTTCCCCCATTATATATAGGTAGTTACATACTTTACATTTTTTCCTCCACTCCTTCAATGAAGGACATATTGTTGTATCTTCTAATAGCTTTACTTCAGAAGGACTGATTATAAGGAATAACTGAATGCTTTAAAATTTTAAAAGTATCTATTAAGACCTTTGAATTACTGAAATTACAACAAAAAGTAATTCTCAGCAAAGGAAGAAACTATTAAATAAGTATAGAAAGGGACCTCTAATTTTATACATTTGAAAGGCATTTGACTTCCTTTGCATCACTGAACACGAATCATTTTCCCTAACAAATAAACTTACTGCATCATTTAGCAAAGCCATTAATTAGACAATGCTAAAAGATTTCAATTGGTTTATTTCCCTCTATCTTTAAATTATTTTTCGACTTAAAAATGAGGACAGTTGCTTTGCACAGAATTGGAGAAAATACTTGCAAATCATATCTACAGGATATATAAAGAACTTCTACAATGCATCAATAAAATGAGAAGTAACTTAATTTTTTTATGGCAAATTTAATTTTAATAATTTTTTGAATAATTCCAAAGAAGACATATGAATGGCTAATAAGCATTGGAAAATATATCTGACACATCAGTCTTTGGGAAAATGCAAATCAAAACCACATTGAGATACCACTTTACAAGCACTAGGATGGTGATACCTAAGATAATAAAGAATGTTAGTGAGGGTGTGGAAAAATTGCAATGATGTATACTTAGAAAACAGCTTGGCAGTTTCTCAATATTTTCACTACACAGCTACTACATGATCCAGCAATTCCACTCCTAGGTATATACCCGACAAAAATAAAACACATAATTTCATACAGAAACTTGTACATGAACATTCATAGCAGCTTATTCATAACAGCAAAAAAAAAAAAAAGGGGGAAACAACCTAAATGTCAACCAACTGATGCATGGAGAAAGTGTGATACACACACACACACACACACACACACACACAATGGAATATTATTTGGTAATAAAAAGGAATAATGCACTAATATAAGTTACAACATGGGTGAACTTCAAAATCCTTATGCTAAGAGGAAGAAGCCAGTTATAAAAGACCACATATCATATGAGTGTGTTTACATGAAGGGTCCAGATAGGTAAATTTTTATAGTAAATAAATGAGTGGCTGCCCTTAGCTGGAAGTAGAGAATAGGAGGAAGGGAGATGGGGAGTGATTACTCAGAGGTTTCTATTTGGGATGATGAAAATCTTCTAAAATTAGATTATGGTGATGATTGCAAAACTCTAACATACCAAAAACCATTGAATTGTATACTTTAAATGGGTTACTTTTATAGTATGTAAATTATATCAATAAAACAAGAAAGTGGAGGAGGAGGATGCAATAATGCATTGCATTTCTTGGTACCATTGTGGACTGGCTAGAAAGACTGAATAGATGTTTTATCACTTAAAATAATTGTTTCCAAATTCAGATCTAATACGAAATAAGAGAAGAAAACAGTGTCATCAAGGGAACTTAGAGTCACTGAAGGTAAATGTTTAGGAAAACGTGTGTGCTAAAGCAAAATAGTTCCACAGGGCATAGGTCTGTGCAAAGGCCTTAGCAGACAATGGGCGAATATTTCTCCAGTAAGATTCAATGAAAGCTGGTAGCACAGCAGAGCTCCCAAGTGGATCTGCCCCACCCATAATTAACCAGGATCTCGAAGTTTGAGCAGTAATCGTGGAATAAAGAGAGGCAAAAGCACTCAAGGACCAGATCCCCACACAGAAGTCTGCTGTCATACCTCGAAGCTGTGGCTCTTTTAGGAGGCTGTGTTCCCGGTGCCTGGGCACCTAAGCTCACACGCCTGGCGCGCTCACCTCGCCTCCTAGCATTTTCCCAGGGTGCCTTGTATACAGAGAAGCAAAAGGAGGGTGGTCTCGGAATGGCTGGGGATCACAGGACCTAGGTCGGGGACTTGCAGGAGCGGCGGAGGAAATCATGGGGCGCTGACACCCACCCACCAGGGCAGGGTCTGTTCGTCTTGCTGTCCCTGTCTCGCACAGGGCACATCACTCGGCGAACGTCCCCGAGCCCCAGGCCGCAGGGCCGCCAGCATCCCCCGGCTCCCTGCGCCGGGGGTGGTTGGTTCTGCGCGCCGAGCTCGACCCTCCTCCCGCGCCACTCCTCCTGCACCTACCTTCCTCCCGCACCATTTCCAGGACCAGCGGGTCGCCCATCTTCGCCAGTTCGTTAATGACACTGACCGAGTTGGCAGAACACAGAGATGAACGGCCAGCTCTCGGGCAGATACTGAATCTGACCTTGGGCGACCGGACACGCTGCTCCAAATAGTAGTCCTTCCAGGGGTCCCTCCTTTCCTTTTGGGGGATCTCTTTCTCCTTCGTCTCCGCCCTCGCCGGGATCTCCAAACACTTGGGCTTCTTCTCCAGCGGATACGGCCCCTCGACCTGCTCCGAGTCCCTGGCCTTCCGCTTCGTCACCCTCTCCCGGTGGCGTGCCTGGGACCCCTCCCAGTACTTGTCTCGGATCCTGAGGGGATGCCCGTCCCCCGGCTCCCTCTCCTCGCCCTCGAGATCCCCACTGTCGCTGTCCGGCAGCTGTCCCCGCCAGTCCGCTCTGCCCCTCTTTCCCCGCCTCCTTCTCCTCCCCCGGACCTCAAGACCCGCCGTCGCCCCGCCCGCCGGGGCCGCCATCGCCCCGCCCCCCGGCTGCGCAGGCTGGGTGCCGGCCGCCTCCTCTCCGCGCCGGCTGTCCCTGTCCCCCGGCCTCGGCTCCGCCGCCACCTCGGGGCCGCTGTCGTCCCCTCTCACGTGGGGACCCGCCGTCCCCTGTTTTCTCTCGGGGCCCGCCGCCTCTCGGCTCCCTGGGCCCGCCAGCTCCGTTCTCAACAGGCCTTGCTCGTCCCATTCCACCGGGCGGGTCCACGCCCAGGACACCCGGTTCTCCAGGGCTGCCGCCTGCCCGCTCTCCCGACCCTCCTCCTCGGATCCGCGCCGAGCCGCCAGCTGCCCCTTCGGCCAGCTGTCCTCTTCCATCTGCCTAGCCCCCGCCTTCAGCGGTAGCACTCGGAGGGAACCCCCTCCCGGTGGGGAGAGTTCTTTTTTGTCGGGTGAGCAAAGCCCCTCCTTTCTTAAGGGGACCCTTCCCCTTAAAGCCGCTTTCTCGGAGATTCCAGCAGCCCCCTCCCGCTGCGTCCCGCGCGGGTATTAACTTTGCTTCCTTTGCTTCCTAGCAAGGCCGGCTTCCCGGACAGGGAACCAGAGCTCTTACCTACTAAAGTGGAGGGAAAGTCATACATTTTTTGTCCTGAGTTCGAATTTAGCCTCTGCCCCTAAAAGTTGGGTGGCATTGGCCAAATTTCTGTAAGCTTCAGTTTCCCTGTCTTTAAAATGGGAACAAGGACAGCACCCACCTCGTAGGGGTGTTGTGAGTGAGGAGTACAGGGCAGAGTTCGCTGCATAATGTGTTAAAAATGTAGCCCCTATTGAAACTAACTCTCATGGGTTTGGGTTCTGCCCCACCTCGAAGGGTCTCAGTGCCTTGAGCACGTCAGCCTCAAGCAGAGTGAAGGGTCCCCTTCTTCACAGGCTCCTCTGAATTCCTACTATGTTGTTGAGACCCCACCAGCTGCCAGCTCCACAATAATTGGGAGATACGAAGAATTACTGTCTAATGGGTGGATATACATGAGCAGGGATGAACTCAGGGGGAAGGAGAGAGGAGCTGGAGGGCCTAGAGAGCACTTCCCAGGGACTGGGGCAGGGGTGGGATGATTTAAGAATGAGGAGGAGATGACCAAGGAAGACTTACCTTTTCTTTTTTAATTATTTTTTTATGCTGTTTCATCCCCCCCCCCTTTTAATTGACTTTTTAGAACTAAGAATTACCTTTTACAAATGAGGAGAAAGGCCTAGAGAAAAGTGTTTTGGTGAAGGTTGTGGTTAACTGTGGAACTTGAATCACCTTTTTGTGTGTCTTTTTTTTTTTTTAAATATCTTGCTATTTGTACTCAAACCTCTAGGAATATATCAGTTCTGGTCATGTGATTTGAGACAAGCAATTCCTTACTTGATACATTTTGGAATTGTGTTTGAAATGTGAGTCAGCAATGGACTTACATATAATTACAATAAATTGCTAGTTTCGATGTGAGTGTTCGGTTTTTACCTCTTGATTACTAATCATTATTTGATTCTAATAAAATGTTTACAACATGATTTGTTTCATATTCTTCCTGCATGTGTTTCATATTCTTCCACTAGGTGCTGTGCGTATTGTGATTCAACAGATGAGTGTCATCTTTGCTTTATGTAGATTAAATAAAAAACACAATAAAATTATTTTTCTATCAGTTTATATAATTATTAGTTCTATAGTTCTCGATCCTGCACCATATCTGAAGTGACATATATGAGAAGGCACTTAATGCTCTTGATTTTGCACAAAATTAAATGGAATATTTTGATACTACAGTGGCTGGTATTTTATTCAACTTTCTGTAAACTTTGTTAATGAAACATCAAAGGCTCCCTGTGTTCTTTAGATAAAGCTCTGTATCTTAGATCTTCAGAAGTTTTCTCTGTAGTCTTAGCACTGTAATATATATATTTTAAATCTTCAGCAGAGGATATTTTTTCTATTTATCTTCAGATAGAGTGGGAGGGAGGGAGAGAGGGAGAGAGAAACATCGACGTAAGAGGGAGACATCAACTGGTTGCCTCCTGCACAACCTGGACCAGGGCTGGGGATGAACTGCAACCCAGGTACGTGCCCTTGACCGGAATTGAACCCGTGACTCATTGTTCCTCGGTCTGACTCACTAACTGCTGAGCCAAACTGGCCGGGGCGATCACTGTAATATTTTATCCATTTATAATTGTACGATTTTTTCATGTTCTCCATTACCACACCCTGCCTCTTTAGACACAATCTTCAACCATACATGTTGAGGATTATGTTCTAAACAATGAATACATGTTTTCTTGATGTAATTGAACACACGGTTAAGTACAGCAGTTCCCCCTTATCTGTTGTTTTGCTTTCCCCAGTTTCAGTTACCCTCCATCAACAAAGGTCCAAAAATATTAAATGGAAATTTCCAGAAATAAACAATTACTAAGTTTGATTTTTTTCTTTTTAATCCTCACCCGAGGATATTTTTCCATTTATTTTCAGACAGAGTGGAAGGAGAGACAGAGAGAGAGAAAGAGACAGAGACAGAGAGAGAGAGACAGAGACAGAGAGAGAGAGAGAAACATCGATGTGTGGACTGGTTGCCTCCCGCATGACCCTAACCAGGGCCAGGACCAAATCACAACTGAAGTACGTGCCCTTAAACAGAATCAAACCCAAGACTCATTGGCTCGAGGGCCAGTGCTCTAACCGCTGAGCCAAACCGGCCAGGGCACAATTACTAAGTTTTAACTTGCAGGCTGTTCTGAGTAGCATGATGAAATCTTGCACCTTCTCTCGTGCAGTGTGACTTGCACCACGTGAATTGCCCCACACCTGCCTGTTACTCACTTGGCAGCCGTCTAAGTTACCAGGTCGACTTTTATGGTATGTCAGTGCTTGTGTTCAAGTTACTGTTATTTTACTGAGTAACGTCCCCAAAGCTCAAGATTGTGATGCTGGCAATTCGAATATGCTGAAGAAAAGCCCAAGAGTGGTTCCTTTAAGTGAAAAGATGTAAGTTCTGGATGTGATAATGAAAGAAAAAAACTCTGTATGCTGAATTTACTAAGATCTGTAGTAAGAATAAATCTGTGAAGTTGTGAAGAAAGAAAAATAAATTCATGCTAGCTTTACCATCATACCTCAATCTGCAAAAATTATGGCGGTAGTGTGTGATATAAGTGACTTAGTTCACATGAAAAAGGCATTACATGTGTGAGTGGAAGACATGAACAGAAAATGTTTTCTGATTAATGGCAATGTGTTTCGGCAGAAAGCACTGAGCCTATAGAAACGTCAGCAAGGGATCCTTTGAGACAAGTGACACCAAGCCTTCACTGCAAGGAAAGGGTGGTTACAATGAGGTATTTTGAGACAGAGACCATAGTCACACAACTTCAATACAGTACATTATTACAATTCTGCTATTATTAGTTATTGTTATCAATCTCTTAATGTAACTAATTTATACATTGACCATCATCATAGTTATGTATGTTAAATCATTTAGGAAATTAGGGCTAAGCTAGTTAACTGCCCAGAATTGCATAGCTGTTAAAAGACAGGGCAAGAGCTTGGATCCCAAAGAACCTGACTCCCCAGGTCATGTTCTTAATCACCATATAGCTTGCAAACTAAAATCAGCTTTGATTTTGGTCAATATTTTTATAAGTAGATGTAAATTTCCAGTTTTCTGTCATGTCTGCTTTGGAAATGTCTCTCATCGGTTATTGAAAATGATTTCATATAGCTGGGAGCTACAATGGAGAATTTCCTATGGTTGTCACTTTACACCTCCCTCTTTGGTTCCTATGACAGCCTGATAGTTAATTCTTTTCCTTCCCATTAGGCAATGTCGTTTATGGATCAGAGTGTTGGTTTGGGGGTTTGATGGAACTGATTTCAAATTTGAGCTCTCCCAGTTCTTAATTGTGTGGTATTTGGTGAGACTTTTACCCTTTCTTAGCCTCAGTTTTCTTATAAAATGAAGAAAATAAGTCCTCCCTGAGGTGTTTGGTGCAATAAATGTAAGAACTCCTGTGGTATGCCATTTCAGTTTTATTGCATTTGTTATTATTGTTGTTGAGTTGGTTTTAAGTGACAGAGTTTTGGAGAGGTTGGAGCCTTTTATCATCAAATGTATATTCATTCCTTTAATTTTCGTGACAGAACTTATTTTTATTAGTCTGTAATACTTCTAGTAGTCTAAGGAGCAAACGCACAGATTACTTTGAAGTCAAGTGTACAATGTATAAATATCAATACAAATATTGCTTGAAGCAATGAAGGAACTCTTAAGGACCAATGGACTCGCATATTGATTGAAGTGCTCCATTATGTAGCATTCAGATGATCCTTAGGGCTGTGCCAATGCAATAAAAGCTTCTGAGAAATAGTAGGTTCCCGTTAAAAGATGATTTAATATTTGGATTGAAATATGCTGTCAGCCAACTTGTGTTCCTTAAAATATACCCACTACTGAAAAGAGACCTTAAAAGTTGGGTTAAGTACAAAACCAAACGATTGAAATACAGGAGCTTCTAGTTAGCAAAAGCATATAATTATGTACACTAAAATTGGTCAGGCTTTTTATAACGTGTATGAAAATATAGTCTATTTTCAAAGTATCTCATTTGGTTATAATTTCAACCACAAGTACAAAGAAAATACAATTAGAGAGTTCAAGTGCCTCAGTAGTTACTTCTGGGGTTTTATCCACCTAATTAAGTCCTCTTTTGTGTACTCCACCCAGTGGCTCCATGGTTTTCAACACCAGCATAAGAAGCATCTAGAATATATTTGACTTCCCCCAAATCATGTGTATACTTGTATCTGAGCCTGCTGTGGTTTGTAATTTCATGGTTTAAGGAGAAAGTTGTCAATCACATTCTTTATTTAGTT